CTGCGCCCCCTCGCCCGCCAGCTGGGGTTGGTCCTGCCAGAGCCAGGTCTGCATGGGGGCAGGCGAGAAGCAGGCAAGGTCTGGGGAGTAGCGTGGGAGGACCCCTGCCTGAAGTGCCCTGTGGTCCCCCCAGGAGCAGCAGGAGGAGGTGCGGAAACGCTGTGAGAGTGCAGAGCCGCGGCATGGGGAGCTGTGGTGTGCCGTGTCCAAGGACATCGCCAACTGGCAGAAGAAGATCGGGGACATCCTTAGGCTGGTGGCCGGCCGCATCAAGAACACCTTCTGATTGACCGGTCGCTCGCCGTGGCCGGTCTCCGTGGGGCAGGGTTGGGCCGCACGTGGGAGGGCCTGTGGAAGGGCCCTGAGCCGTGTCCTCCTTCATTAAAAGTTTTTACGTCTCATGTCAGAGCAGGCAGCCTGCTGGTTTTCTCTGGGCCCTTCCCTGGCTCCTGCTTCTGCTGCCCCAGTCTGGCCTGTCCTGGCCTGTCCCACACTGTCCTGGCGTGGCTGTGATCACCCTTGCCTAGGCAGAAGCCTCTTGCAGATAGCCAGTGTCTCACAGAGGAGGCACTGTGGAGGTGCCCGGGTTCCCCGAGACTGTAGAGAAGGTGGTGGGAGTGCAGATGTTCTAGCCAAAAGCCCTGTGTGGGGACAGCTGGAGATAGTGGGAACCGAGCTGCCTGCAGGACCAAGGTGCTCGCAGGAGCCTGGCAGCCGCCTGCAAGGGTCTTGGTCAAGGGACAGCTGGGGCCTCCCTGGAGTCTGAGTGCAAACGGAACTCAGCTCTGCCGAGGGCCTCTCCATACGGCCTCCCAGGCCCCTCAGGCATGTGCCGAGTGACAGTGTCACCAGTAAGAGGCGTTCTTACCTTTGGAGGTGAGTTTATTTATTTATTTGTTTTTGAGACAGAGTCTCGCTTTGTTGCCCAGGCTGGAGTGCAGTGGCACGATCTCGGTTCACTGCAACCTCTGCCTCCTGGGTTCAAGCAGTTCTCCTGTCTCAGCCTCCCGAGTAGCTGGTACTACAGGCGCCCACTCCCAAACTCCTGACCTCAGGTGATCCGTCCGCCTCAGCCTCCCAAAGTGGTGAGATTACAGGCGTGAGCCACCGCACCCGGCCGTGAGTTTATTTTTGCTAATTTAACCTTAAAGCACTGTAATGGTTCTCATCTCTAGGTTGAACGTTGCATTACCTGGGAGAGTTGGCTGCTTTTCAGCCTTAGCTGCATAAGGATAAAGGACATCGTCAGGCCTGGGATCGTGTGTGTGCATCCGGCTGGGAGCCAGCTGGCTCTTGTGTAGGCCAGGGCTGGAGACATCTGGCTGGAGGTCGTGGCTGGCCCAGAGGGTGTGGGTGGACAGCTGTTAAGGCCTGCAGGGGAGGAGGAGGGCACTGTCACGTGGGCCTAGAAGGCTGCTGGAGAGCAGCTGTCCCTGGACGTTCCTTGTGAGAGGGGAGCCCCAGAGGGTCCCAACCTGTTTTGTGGTACCAGTGGCAGGGCCTGTGGTGGTGGTCAGTCACTGACCCACAGCTCTGCCCTCCTGCACATGGGGGCCTGTGCTAGGCCTTGTGGTCTGCCTGCTCCTGACGAGTGAGAATGGCTGGGGTGGGGGATCTCTGTCTGCACATGGGGTGGTCCTGGTAGACCAGAATGTGGGTGTGGGTCCCCCTTCCCTGTGGTTCTGGGGACTTCGAGGACATGGCCAGTCCAGGGCAAGGGACCTGCCACCCGTGTGGGGTCAGGAACTGCTGGTTGGTCTCTGCTGGGCAGGCAACCTGGGGTCCAGCTCAAATCATTGAAATCTGGAAGTCCTTCCTCTCGCCCCGTCCTGAGGAGCAGCTGCTGGAGCTTCATGAGTGTTTTCATTCAGACTTGTGGAGGAGTTTCCTTTGATCTTTCGTGGAGACGTGGAAGCATGAGGGAGCCTTCAACATTTACTCTGAAGACGAAGAGAGTTCTGCAGCTTTTTGGAGTTTGTAAAGTCACCCGGCCCTGTACAGATATGGACACCGAGGCCGAGGACGTCTGTCGAGTCCGCCTGGTCCTGTACAGATGTGGACACCGAGGCCGAGGACGTTTGCCGAGTCCGCCCGGCCCTGTACAGATGTGGACACCGAGGCCGAGGACGTCTGTCGAGTCCGCCTGGCCCTGTACCGATGTGGAAATTGAGGCTGAGGAGTTTTGAAAAGCCAGCCCAGCCCCGTGTAGATGTGGACACAGGCCTAGGAAGGAAGCACTTCTCTGACCTCAGCTGGGTGGGCGTTGAGGGGTCACACAGAAAAGAATGTGTCAGGCCATGTTCAGGGGAGGCTTCCGCAGGGCCCTTGGAAAGTTCCAGAGCACTTGCGTTGTCCATGTGTGTCTCCTCTTTCTTGCCTGTGTGGGGTTTTCTCAGATGCTTTGAGGCCAAACTACAGTTGTGCATCACTTAACGGTGGGGACACATTCTGAGAAACACCTCCTTAGGCGATGTTGTCTTGCAGATAGAGTGCATTTACCCAAGGCTGGCAGGCAAGGCCTCCTGCACCCCCAGGCTGTGTGCCAGAGCCTGGGGCTCCTGGGCTGCAGACCCGCACAGCCTGTCACAGCATTTAATCACATCCAAACACAGAAAAAGCAAAAACGTGAAGATGAAGTGTTACAATCCTAGGGGACTCCTGTCACCTGTGTGGTCTGTTCTTGACTGTTGTGTGAATCACTGACTTTTCCCCCTGGGAAACTACCTTAACCTGTCTTCAACGGAGATTTTTTCAGCCCACAAAGGTGAGTTGTGCCTCAGAGGTTGCTCTTGTTCTGAGGTGTCTTCACCACGGCCTGTCAGGCTGCAAACCAGAGTGCCCGCCCCAGACGGCAGCAGAAGTGACAGCAGCCAAGGATGGGGACCCGCCAGCTCCCGGTGTCTTTACGGCCGGCAGCAGAGTCAGCCCCAGCGAGACCCCTCAGCCCAGGAGGAGTGAGGCCAGCAGCGGGGGCCCGGGAAGCCCCACGTCTTGGGACCTGCTGGGGCAGGGCCCCCTGGATGTCAGGCTGCAGGTCCGGCAGCTGGGAGGGGATGAGGGCCTCCTGCCAGCTCTGCCCATCAGCCAGCTCCCTGGGAGAGGCAGCACTTGCTGGCCACAGAGTTGGCCCCAGTCTCACCTGGCTCCCCTCCCCCACCAGCTGGGCCCTGCACCGCCCAGCCCACACAGCGCCCCACCCCTCCTTGACAGAACAGTGTCTCTGGGACTGACAAGTTAATCCAAGACCCACATTAGCCCTGGATCCCCTGGGAGAGGTGGCTGCTGAGTTCCAGGGCCAGGTTAATTGAAGTGATAGGGAGTGGGGAGGAGGGGCAGGGCTGGGATTGCGTGGCCTCCTTCCCTCTCCTGCTCCCTCCCTCAGCTTGGAGGAGCCAACTTCAAAAGCCTCCGCCTGGCCTGCCCCTCTGCAGTCCTCCAGGCAGCCTGTCCAGGGAAGCCACTGGCTGGTGTTGGACCTGGTGCGGTGGTGCACACCCCGTCCGAGGACCCCAGGATCATGTGTGTGGCCTGCTGGCGGGAGTGAGGGAGGGCAAGACCCTGAAAGGCCCATGGTGAGCAGTTGTGGGCCTCCTCTAGGGAGGGGCTCACTTGGGTGGAGGGGCTGGGGGTACACACAGCTCAGGAGACACTGCTTGTTCCCGAGTCCCACCGGGAAATGTCCGGTTGGCTTTGGTCACTGTGTCACTGGGGGTGGCAGTGGGTGCATGTGCCCTGGCTTCTGGTAGTTGGGCGAGGGGGGCTCCCGGGTGCCGGGCCACCCTGTTCTAAGCTGGGCTGAGGCTTGAGCCAGGAAGTGGTACTAACAGGCCAGGTGGGACTCCCAGGGCAGCCTGTCTGCCCCACCTGGGTAGGACACAGCAGGTGCTGGACATCCTTGCAGCTCCAGCTGGCCTGCTTAGGAGTCAGGCTCTGGTTTTCGCTATGACCTCTGACCCACAACAGGCAGAGGGGATGACGTGGCAATTCTCAGCCCACTAAGTTGGCCGTGGCGTGTGTGGTTGGGGGGCCAGGTTCAAGAAGGGGCCGTAGCAAGCCATCTGCTCTTCCAGCCATTGCCGCTTCGTGCTCCGAGCAGGAGCTGCCACCCCCACCAGGCCCCCAGCTCTAGGCGAGGGTTGGGGTGCTGCTTGGTCAGGCTCCCCTGCCAGGGCTGGGAAGCCGAGTCGAGTCCTGTTATCTCGGTCGGGTTCGCATGATTAATTTTCCAGCCCTAGATCTGCTGTCTGACTCCATCCGGGGGCCTGGGGGAAGGTTTGGGGCTGGCCCCTTTTGAGTGGCTGGGAACCTGGGGGCCATCAGCTGTCTCCTTGATGTTTGGGCTTTTTCCCTGTGGGAGCAGGCCCTCCACTTTGGGTCGGCGGAGGCCTGTGGCATGGGCTGCCTGGAGCGATGGTGTGGGGCGGCTGGTACAGGCAGAGGGGGCTTTTGCAACTGTTGGTTGGGCTGGATGTGGTGGCTGCTGCTTCCTCTGTGGCTTCTGGGAGTCCCCCCAGCTTTCCCCTTCCAATAGGGTGCGGCTTGGAGCTCTGAGCCCCTGCCCCAGTTGGGTTGGAGGTACAAGGAGTTCCCCAGTCCCCATGTCTCTGTGAGCTAACCCAGAGGGCGCCAGTGTGGGAGGTGTGGCGTTGAATGGGCGTGGCCATGGGTGGGACAGCCTGTACTGGGACAACTTCCTACTGTACCCCCAAGAGCCTGCAGACCAGCCCCACTCGAGCTGTGCAGGGCCAGGTGGGCCCTGCTCTGCCGTCTTGAGGGTGCTCCACCCCTTGTTGGCCCCACTCCTACATGGACCACAGAGCCAGGCTCTCCTGCCTCTGGCCCTGCCCCCCCTGTCTCCTGCTGGGCTCTTCAGGGCTCAGTGACATGGCCTCCCAGCCCACATCACTCACCCCTTGCACATCTTTGCAGGGAGCATAGAGCTGTCTGGTTTGCAGACTTATCTGTTGTCTCTCCTGATTTATCCCGCCAGGCCTGTGCCTACAGCCTTTCTTGGTTGGTGACATGTCCATTTCATAAGGCTCAGAGATCCCGTGGGGTGGGGCTTCTACGGAAACAAAGCGCAGGCGGGCTGGCTGCTCCCTGTGCTGGGAACCCCCGCCCCCAGGCCTAACCCCAACCTGCTGTCTCCTCCAGGTATCCCCCAAGCCTGCACTTTGGGCGCTCCTGTTGGCGCTGCTGGGGACCGCGCCAAGCCGCGCCCATTCCCCGGCCTGCAGCGTCCCCGACGTGCTTCGCCACTATCGCGCCATCATCTTCGAGGATCTGCAGGCTGCCGTGAAGTGGGGCGGGGCGGGGGCCGAAGAGACCAGGCCAGGCTCCAGACACTTTCATTTCATACAGAAAAACCTGACTAGACCCGGGAGCTCGGGACGGCGGGGACGGCCTCGGGCCTCCTGCGGCGCCCAGAAGGTATGGAGGAGGCGCCCATACCCAAGTTCGACGGTCTGCTCCTCTCTCAGTCGCCCCCCACCCCCACCCCGCCTTCCTCCCTTCCCTCCCCAGGAGCACAGTATCCTCCTGTCCATCTCATCCCTGGGTCGGACCCTGCGCGGGGCGGTGGCCGGGAGCCGCCGCGGTGCCCTGGAGAGAGCTGCGTGGACCGTGGCTGTGCGCACCGAGGCGGTGATGCGGCGCCACTGCAGGACGCTGCCCCAGGTGTGCGTCCCTGAGTGCAGCCGGGGCCAGACCTCCCCTAACCCCACAGGGCCGCCGCGCGTCCCGGGGCTCCACGGCCCTAGGCTGAGGTCGGGCTGGGCCGCGCCTCCCTTCCCGGGCCGGGCTGGGCGCGGGGGCCGTGCGCATTCGCTGACCGCTCTGTCCCCGACAGCGGAGCCGGCGGCCCGAGGGGCGCCCTGCCCGGCGTCGCGGCGGCCGAAGGCAGCTCCTGCTGCGCGCCCTGGACGCCGTCGCCACCTGCTGGGAGAAGCTCTTCGCGCTGCACGCCCCGGCCTCCAGGGGCTCCTAGCGCGGCCCGGCCTGGCTCTGCCTCCGGCGCCCTGCGCGGGGAGGGGAACCAGCGGGGCCGCGGCAGCCTGGAGACGCGCCTCGTTTTGTCGACTTGTTGGTGACCTCGGCCCCTCGCTCGACGCAGCCCGCGCTCCCCGGAGGGCCCAGGACTTGGAGAAGGGAGCGCGCCCGGCCGCCGCTGGGTCTCGGAGGAGGCCCGCCCTCCACGCGCCGAAGGCCTCAATAAACGGAGCTGGCGCTGCGGGTCCGGCACTCCCTTCGCCTGCCTCTCTGTGGGCCTAGGACCGCCCCGGGATCTGCGCTTCGATGGCGGGGGGGCGGTGGAGGGGGAATGCGGGGACCGGCACTTCCTGTGGCACCTGGACGGGGCGGAGCCGCCGCTCCCAGCCTCGGGCAGCAGAGGGCGGGCGCGGGACGCTGGGCGCGCTCCGGCTCGGTCAGCTGCTCCCGGCTGGGCGGAGGGGAGAGCGGGGGACTCCTGGGGCCCCTAAAACGTCACGTATCCATCCTGCTCCACTTTGGACCGGGGCCGGGGGTGGAAATTGAGGGGAGGGGAAGGCTGGACTTGGTGGATTCGGAGCAAAACAACCGGATAAAGGAAACGGGCCCGAAGGGAAGCGGGAGCTTCGGGCCCTGGCTGTGAGCTTGGCCAGGCTATTTCCTGCTGCCTCGGGAGGGGTGGCCACGGCCTGGGCTCAGAGACTGCCCAGCCTCCTCTGCAGGACTGGCCAGGCTGGGGCCTGCTTTCTGGCCCCTGGCACCCTGCATTTGGTGGGGACTGACCCCTGGTTCCCTCATCTGATGCACGGGTCTGGGAGTCTGTCATCCCCTCCCTGATCTCGGCCCATGGAGGAGCACAGGAGGTAAAGTCCCTGGCACCTGTTCCCTCCCCTTCCCTGAGAGGCAGCGAGCAGGCTGTGCCTCTGGCATTCTTTGGGATCAGGGGCAGCAGCAGAAGAAAGAAGGAACCTCCCAAGCTAACCCTGACCCAACTCCACACTCTGTGTTAATGTATTTAGTCTGTACAACAAGAGCTACTGTCTGTTTTATAGATGGGGAAACTGAAGCACGAGGAGGCTGTGAGACTTGCCCCAAATCACAGTCAGCAATGTAAGAGCTGGCCTCAGGCCCAGGCCCAGGGCATGGGATCTGCCTGGAGGCTGGGGACCAAGCTTCCTGGACTTCAGAGCCTTGGACTCACCTGCAGAGTTAGCACTTCTGACAGAGTCCCTGGCCATGCTTTGAGCACAAGCACCCAGCAAGCGTTCCCAGGCCTCGTTCTGCATTGCCTGCTCCATGGGGGCCAGCGTGGGCAAGTGTGGGATGAAGGGGAGAGGCAGGGTGCAGGAGCCCCAGCTGGAGCCCAAGCACTTGAGGGAGGCATTCGGACTTACCCCTAGGCAGCGGAAGGTCTCTGGTGAAAGAGGGATGTTAGAATTGGGAATCTAGAAAGATCCCCGCGGCTTGTGTGGAGGGCTGGTGAGGATGAAAGGGTGAAGAGAGGTCCAGGCTGCCCAGGGTCCTGGCTGGAGTACCTGGGTGGGTCTTTGGGGAACCTGAACATGGGAAGCACTAAAGGGGGAGTGGGTCTGTTTGAGGTCCCTGAGGGAGCTGGGGAACTGTGGGCGACTTATGCTGGGGTGTGGAGCATAAGGTATGGACAGCAGAGCGTGGCTGGGAGGCAGCTGATTTGAGGCCCGGAGAAAGAAAAGAATCCAGGGTTCTGGGCTGGGCTCAGGGACAGGATGGGGACAGGCCCTCCATGAAGGCTCCCACTGTCACACTGCCCCGGGGCAGCTGACTTCTTGCACTTAGACCTGCCCCAACCCCTGGGCCATGGGGAGGGCACGCCTCTCCTGTCCATGCGTGACCTCCTGGGCTGCTCCATGGCTCCTGCCCACCCACAGTGCTCCCGTTCCGCTGTTCAGAGCAGTCAGAGGCTGGGGATGTGGGTGGGCAACAGAAACAGCTCCCTCTACCCTGACTGAGAAAGGTTCAAACAAACCACAGCCTCTCGGGGGCAGGAGGAGGAACAGAGGCCTCAGGGTTTTGGGGACACATGTCCGTGCCTAGTCCTGGACCACGACCACATGGATGGGTGAGAAGCCCTGCGTCCTGGCCCGTGGCTCCTCCCCTCATGCAGAATGGGAGCAAGGTGGGCTTTGGGCTTCTGGGACAAAGTTCACTTGTCCAGGGTGGCGACAGCCCAACCAGACTAGGTGTAGGGGCATGTGTGGAGCTACAGGAAGAGGTCCAGAGCTACCGAGAGCCACAGAGACTAGGAGAGAAGCCGCGGTGCCTGCTCAGACCTGAGAGGCTCAGGTCCTCTTTGGGTTCAGTGCTGGGACCGTAGCCCCTCTGTAGCTCCATGAGGATAGAGGCATGTCTCCCTTAGCATGGTACACCAGCACCTGGCCCAGGCTAGCACATGAGCTGCTCAACAAATGTTTGTTGCCTGGAACTGACCAGAATCAACCCAGAGATGGAAATAGACTCACTGGCCCCACGGCCGATAGGGACAGAGCCATTGGCCATGGAACCACTGAGGGCAGATCCCATGGACTGGCCCTGTAGGTCCATAGACCGACTGGTGGTGCCTTCCCTGCAGAGGCCCAGGGAAGGTGGCCTGAGCCTGGTTCTTTGTCAAATACTGTTTCTGGGTTGGAGCTGCACACAGTACTGTCCTGTCCCACCCTCATGCCTTCTCAGGGCTTGGCTGCTCCGGGGAGGTGGGGGCTGTGCCAGGGTAACAGATGGGGCCTGCAGGGCACTGGCTGGGGTTGTGCAACTTCCCACAGCTCAGGAGTCAGACCCCTCCATGTGCAGCGCTGGGAAGAGGGGCCAGGCAGGCTTTGAAGGGGCCCGGGTCCCGAGGCCTCCCCAGACTGGGAGCCTTTGAAAGAACATCTGGAACTTGGGCAACTGGCTAGTCTCTGGATTTGCAAAACCAAAAGTTAATCCTGACTTTTCCTCTTGTGTGTTCCCCACCCCTGCCCCCAAGCTCCTCTCTCTCCCCACCCCACCTCCACCTCTTCAGCGGTGGGGGATGCAGCCTCTCATGATCTCCCAAAGCACCTTCCCCCACCACCACCGCTGGCCCCCACCCCAGCCTGGGAGTTCTGCTGAAGCTGACCCGAGGGAGGTGGTGGGAAAGATGGATGTTGTCTCAGTACCTGCCATACCCAGGCCCTGTGAGCGGACAGGACAGACCACCACTCCGAGGCTGGAGACGGCTGGGGAGGAGTGTGAGTGGTCCTCAGAGGAAACAGCTGCTCCCAGACCTGGGAGGTGCCCGGCCTTGTGTGGGCTCTGAGCCCTGCAGGTGTGCAGGGAGGCCCCCCTGCTCCAGCTGTGGCTGACTCGGAAACAAGTTCCCCCCAGCTCCAGGAAACACACACTCACTGGTGGGGGGAAGCCAGGTGCTGGGGCCCATTGTCTCTGCCAGTGCCTTCAGGACCCTAGGGGAGGCCCAGCGACAGCCCCCATCCTGCCCCCTCCCCAGGAAAAGACCCAGCTTTGTAAACACAGAAGCAACCATCGCTCCTCCCCGCTCTTCCCCCTCCCCATTAAAATCCGGAAGAGCCAGCGGGAGGTCGCACCTGCTGGGGGAAGTGAGTCCTTGTTTTGGGGGAAATGAGGAGGTCAGGCCTCTGGGGGCAGGGCAGGGCCGCGTGCGCTGGGGAGGTGGGCAGCCCTGGGGCTGGACGCGGGTTCCCGGGTTGCCCTCCGGCCTCGCTCCCGTCGGGAGGTCCCGACACGGGCGGCCTCGCAGTCTCCCCGCCTGGCCCGGCTGGATTGTGACAGCCGCGGTCGGGGGCAGAGGCGGCCAGGGCTCCCCACCAGGTGAGCAGGCCCTGTCCTTGGCGCCCCCTGCCCGGCTTGAGGCCAGGGGTCCGGGCTGCGGCCCGAGATAAGCGCCGCGCCCGCCGCCGTTTCCTGCACTTCCAGCGCCGCCGCCGCGCGCGGCTTCCTGTTTTCTCGCGCTGGCGGGCGGGGGCGTGGGGGACGGGACAGGGGTCGTGGGAGATGGGGCGGGGTAGTGGGGGTTGGGACGGGTCATGGGGGATGGGACGGCGTCGTGGGAGACGGGACAGGGGTCGCGGGGGACGGGGCGCGGTCGCAGTAGACGGGGCGGGGGTCAGGGGGACGGGACAGGGGTCGCGGGAGAGGGAGCAGGGTCGGGGAGGATAGGGTGGGGTCTCGGGGAACAGAGGTTGCGGGGAGCAGGAGCAGGCCAGAGGAGTCTCAGTAAGAATGAACTTGGCCGGCGCGATGGCTCCCGCCTGTAATCCCAGCACTTTGGGAGGCCAAGGCGGGCGGATCACGAGGTCAGGAGTTCGAGACCAGCCTGGCCAACATGGTGAAACACCCGTCTCTACTTAATAATACAAAAATTAGCCGGGCGGGGTGGCGGGCGCCTGTAGTCCTAGCTCCTCCTGGGGAGGCTGAGGCGGAAGAATCGCTTGAACCCGGGAGGCGGAGATTTCAGTGAGCCGGCATTGCACCACTGCACCCCATCCTGGGTGACAGAGCGAGACTCCGTCTCAAAAAAAAAAAAAAAAAAAAAAGACAAAAGAGACGAATGAACCGGGAGACCCTGCTCCTTCTGCAGTACTGGACCCAGCTCTTCAGGCTCCCTCCCTGGCTTGGGGCAGAAGTGGTGGGTGGGCGGATGGAGGGTGAGCCAGTCCCTGTAGGGCCTTAGTTTTGAGGGGCCTGTTTGGGATTGGAGGTTTGCAGCTCTGGACCCCCCTTTCCAGGGCAGCTGTTCCAGTACATGGATTCCAGGTACTTAACCTATTGTTCAGACTTTGTTATTAGAGATACGCATTTTTGCAATTTTAATAAAAACACATCTACACCAAACATTGCACACAAATGTTCATAGCAACATTATTCATTATCAATAACATTATCATTATTCATGATAGCCGAAAAGTAAAAACCATCAATGTCCATCAGTTGCCGAATAAACAAAATGTGGTATATTCATACAAGGAGAGGAGGATACTTAGCCACAAAAGGATTGGAACGCTGGCAGGCCACAGCATGGGTGAACCTCAGAAGTGTGCAGGGTGAACCAAGCCAAACACGAAAGGCCACATGTTATCCCACTTATAAGAAATGTCCAGGCCAAACACTGCAAATCCACAGAGGCCAAAAGCAGTTTAGTGTTTATCGGGGCAGGGGGCAGGAAAGACTAGGGAGTAATGGGTTTCTCTTGAGGGTGATGAAAAGCTCTAAAATTAAAGCTGGGCGTGGGGGCGCACACCTGCACTTCCAGCGAGGTAGGGAGGATCACTTTTCAAGGCTGCAGGTTCTAAGACCGTTTCTATGAATAGCCCCTGCACTCCAGCAGCCTGGGCAACATAGCAAGACCCTGTCTCTTAAAAATAAATAAATAAAGGCCAGGTGTGGTAGATCATGTCTATAACTCCAGCACTTTGGGAAGCCAGGTGTTCAAGACCAGCCTGGGGAACATAGGAGTCTCTACAGCAGAGCAACAAGAAGCATAGCTCTGAGGTAGAGCATTTGACTGCAACAGACAGGACGCTCTAAAATAATATAGTGGAGATGGTTTCCAGCCTTGTGACTACAACAAAACCACTCCATTGCAGACTTACATTTTATGTAGGCTTTGTGGAATGTAAGTGGAGCGGCTTAGTTTTCTGGGGTGCTTTTCCGGCTGAGTGGTGGGAGGCTCGGGTCCCCACATGTGGCTTTCTTGCCTGCCCCAGCAGCACCTTGCTGGGGTCAAGTCTGCTCTTTGTCTGGTGTGTGGCTGGGTGTGTGTGTCTGTGTTGGTGTTCCCAAGGGTGTGCAAAGTGATGACTGTATCTGCTGGGGACAGAGGTGCACCATACCCGCTTCCAGCCCCCATTTTCTCTGACTCTGCCCCGGGCTGCCTGCTGGGGAGAGTTCAACACCTCACTCAGCTCACTCCTGGGACAAACTGGATCCTGGGCATGGGAGATGGGAGGGGAGCTGTGGCCAGCGCCAGGCAGGGCTGCTAGAGCTTCTCACCAGGAGCTGAGGCCTGACTCAGCAGGAGGAGGGTGGAGACCTCCCTCGGAGCCTCAGGGAAGAAGGCAGACAGGGCCAGAAGTGGGAGGGGTGTGCAGCTGGTGCCAGGGCTGGAGCACCCAGGCCCTGGGGCTGTGGTTCTGCCTAGCAGGGCTGTTCAGCCTTTGGCGGGTAGAGGGGAGATCTCTGGGCCGGGCCCTGGAAGAGGCCGTGTAAGGAGACCCCACCCACCGCTGCTGAGGGCCGCAATTGGAACCAGGTGCCCTCAGTGGAAACCTCTTTCATGTCCCCTTCTGATCCTTCTCCTGGGCATTTCCAGCCTCTGGGCTGGGACTTGCTTCAGCTGGAGCCCCCCACTAGCCCCCCACCCTGGCACTTGGAGGAGGGGCTTCTCACAGGTACCCACTCTGTCCCTTCCTCACACAGACCATGAGGCTGTGTTGCCACCCAAGGTGTCTTCCAAGCTCTCCACCCCATTGGTCTAGAAGGGGGTGCGATGGGGGTGAGGAGTCCAGAATAGGGGATGCGTGCTGGCCGTGAGACTGCCACTCTGGCCTCCCCCAGGCTGTCTGTCTGTGTCCGTGGGTGTTACTGGGGAGATGCCCAGCCCAAACAGGGAGTCACTGGAGGCCAAGGGCGGGGGCTGTTCACATGAATAAATTCAGCAGGACAGGCTGGGTCTGTTGCCTCTCTCCTGCCCTGGTTGGGGGTTGGGGGAGGGGCAGGTGGTCTCATGCCTTGGTCAGTCACTTGCAGACTCTGGCTGTCAGGTCACCCTCTGGCTGAGATCCCCATGGAAGGGGGTGCATCTTGGGCCTGCTGACCCCAGGGCTCCAGGGAGTGGGCCAGAGCAGGAGTTGGTGGCCATGAGAGCTGGGTGTGGCTTGCACTCACCAGTGTGAGCATTTATCTCATGGTATGAGCCCATGAAGAGTCCACATTGGTGCCTCAGAGACCCCCCACTCCCCACCGAAAGACAGATGTGGCTTGTGTCCCCTTGGGTCTCACCTTCTCTGCTTCCCTGCTGTGTACTGGCAGACAGTGCTTGGAAGACATGGGCAGTGACCTCAGTGTCCTGTGGGCTGTGTCTGTGCCTGTGCCTACCTGGTGCATCACTCGCTACCTCCGAGCCTGTCTCCTGCCCTCTTCAGCGTCTGTTTCTCCTTGTCTGTTTCTGTCCCCTCTGCATGTCTCTGTCCCTTTGTCTTTGAGTTCTCTGCTGCCAATGTGGTGGGGAAGGGGCCCCAGGTGCAGCCCCTACTGGGGGCCCATCTGAGGGGTGGCACTCATGCTGATTAATACAGAGGTGACATGCCCTGCTCCAGGGAAGGGTAGCTGTAAAATAGCCCCATTTCACCCCCTCCACATACACTCAGGCAGCAGGCACAGGTCCATCCGGCCCCAGGCTGCACATCCACGTGCCACCCACACGCTGTCCCCTGCATGAAGGGCCACACTGGGAGTCTCATTCACACACACACAGAACCACAAGACACACTCAGAGGCGTGCACGCCCCCTGTACCTGGGAGGCTGAGCTGTGAGCGGCTTTCCACACCAGGGCGGCCAAGTTTCGCTCTCCCCACTGACTCCCCCTCTATGCAGAGGGGGTGCTGGGGCAGGATACGCCCCTCCTCTTGGCTTATACTTGCCAGGCCCTAGGGAGTGTGTCTGGGTGTTCACTTCTGGGGGTGATTGCTCCAACCTTCCCTGAACACGTGGGCTCGAGGTCAAAAGGACCAAGAGGTCAGCACGGAAAGAGAGTGTCCAGGCCGGGCGCGGTGGCTCACGCCTGTAATCCCAGCACTTTGGGAGGCCGAGGCGGGCGGATCATGAGGTCAGGAGATCAAGACCATCCTGGCTAACAGTGAAACCCTGTCTCTACTAAAATACAAAAAATTAGCCAGGCGTGGTGGCGGGCGCCTGTAGTCCCAGATACTTGGGAGTCTGAGGCAGGAGAATGGAGTGAACCCAGGAGGCGGAGCTTGCAGTGAGCCGAGATCACGCCACTGCACTCCAGCCTGGGCGACAGAGCAAGACTCCATCTCAGGAAAAAAAAAAAAAAAAAAAAAAAGGGTGTCCAGTCCTCCTGGGGACTAGTGTGATACGCTCCAGAGTTGGGGGGTCTTGGGACGTGAAGCCTAGGCTCTCCTGCCTTGGTCATTGACCCTGTCTCTGGGCAGAGCTGGACAGGTCACCCGGGTGGGAGGGTGCTGTGGGTGTAGCAGGGTGCTGCCCTCCCTGGGGTGAGTGAGAACAGCTGACAGAGACCCCTGGAATCTGTGTCTGCACGTGGGCTGCCAACCTGCCAGCCTCCCTCAGGAAGGGTGCCGTACTGGGCAGCCCTTGGGCATGGAAGTTTTAAGGCAGAGGCAAGGGCAATGAAACCCTGCCACGGATGTGAGGGGATTGCTGGTAGTCCAATGTCTGATAGGCTTGAGTTAACATCGGGGTGGGACAGGAGGGCAGTGGAGGGTTGGGGGGAGTGTGGACCCCATGCTACCTGTGCTGTCTGGGCTGTGTCACCGAACGAGGGAGGAGTGCTATGGGGTTCAAGCTAGGAGTCAGGCTCCCTGGGGGCGATTAGGAGGGAAGGGGCGTCCAGGGCTATTTGGGGAACTGCTCTTCCCTCCCTGCAAACACCACAGATGTCAGTGTGCAGAGGAAAGGCCCGAGGCTTTATTGTGGCCTCTCCACCCGGGGACCCAGCCCCAGGCTCCTCCTTTACAGCAAGCAAACATCTGTAGTCCTCACATTTCAAAAGCCTTTGCCGCAGTGACGGCTCTGATCACTGACACTTCTTGGAAGAAAAGTTTAAGAGTTTAAGTAAAAATTAAATATATTGTATTAGGTATAATTTTTTAAAAGGGCAAAGTAAAAAATATTAATACAATCTGGTTGTAGAAAATACACTGCAAGAAAAGGAACAGGTGCCTCAAAAATGTAACCCTGGCAACTCTGCCAACAGGTCCTAGGCTCCGGCTTCCTGGAAAAGCCCCAGGACACGTGGGAACTCCAGGCACCCTCGCAGGGGCCCTCCCGAGGGCAGGTGGCCCAGAAGCCCAGGAAGGGTGGCCTGGGAGGCGGAACGGGCACAAGGCCGAGCATCACTGGCTCCTAGGGGGCTGTGACATGGAGCCAAACATACACGCGTGCGAGAGGGTAGAGCGGGCAGCGACGCGGTCGGATCGGTCGCGGGGGCTGCGGGAGGAAGCGCTGCAGGGACCCGGGCGGCGCCGGCGGCCTAGCCGGAGATGCACGCGCTGTAATAGACCGCGCTGCTGGCGTCCGACAGCGCGGAGATCAGGCTGCTCTCCTCGGGGCAGGACATGGCGCGCGGGCCCAGTTTGGCCAGTGCCACGTGGTAGGGGAGCCCGGGGGCGTCGGGCCGAGTCCGGCTGCAGTTGAGGTACTGGTCGAACTCGGTGAGGTCCACGTCGGCCCAGAGATCGGCGGCGGGCCCCAGCGGCTCGGCGCTCTCCAGCGGCGGGGCCTCGGGCGGCGGCGACAGCGGGCCGGGGTACGGGCCGGGCGTGCCCAGGGTGCCGTAGTACAGGCCAGCGAGCGGCGCCACCGGGGGCGCGGTCCTGAGCGCCTCCGCCAGGGGAGCCCCGTAGCAACCGCCGGGGTCCCGGGACAACTCGGTGGGCGCGTAGGGCGCGCGGAAGGCTCGCAGCGCGCAGTCCTCGGGCGCCGCGGGCGGTGGGAAGAAGGCGGCCTCGCCGGGCTCCAGGCCGTCCAGAGGCGAGCGCTCGGGCGTCGGCAGCCCCAGGCCGTCGAACTCGGCGCCCAGCGGGGGCAGCTCGCGGAAGGCGCGAGCCGAGCCAGGCGCCGCGGGGAAAGGCTCGGGCGGTGGCTGCGGGGGCGCTAATCCGGGGAGCAGGAGGCCGGGCTCCAGCCGCCGGGCCTTGCGCGCCTGCTTCTTGCGGCGCGGCCGGTACTTGTAGTTGGGGTGGTCGCGCAGGTGCTGCACGCGCAGCCGTTCGGCTTCCTCCACGAAGGGCCGCTTCTCCGCTGCGTTCAGCTCCTTCCACGCTTTGCCTGCGGGCCGCGGGCGCCAGTGAGTGGAACGCCGTCGGGCGGGTGGGCGCCGAGCCCTCCGTGCGCCTGGGACGCCCCGCGAGGCTTCGGCGCAGCCCCCCGTACACCGCGCCCCGGGACCCCCGCGCCCCCCGCCCCCTCCGGCCCGAGCCCCCCCGCCCGCTCCCCCTTCTGCCGCCCTCCCGCCGCTCACCCAGCATCTTGCTGAGCACCGCGTTGTGCAGGTCCGGGTTCTGCTGAGCCAGCCGCTTGCGCTCGTCCTTCGCCCACACCATGAAGGCGTTCATGGGCCGCCGGATGCGCGACTCGTCTGCCGCCTGGCGTTCCCCGCGGCCGGCCGGGCTGAGGCCATAGCGCCCCGGCTCGGGGCTGCGCGGCGGACTGCGCTGCGGGCTGGGCGGCGAGGCGGGCGCGGCGGGCGCGGCGAGGGCGGCGGGGGCGGCGGCGAGGCCGCGCGGGTCAGCGGCGGCCCCGTGTCCCGGGGCCCATGCACAGTCGCGGCGGGCGGGCGGGTCGTCCTGTGCGCCGTAGCCGGGCGGCGATCTCTGCATTCCAGCTGGGCGCGGCCTGGGCGGAACGGAGCGCGGGAGCGCGGCGGGCGGGCGGCGGGCACTGCGGAGCCGGGCGCGAGGGCGGGCCAGGCCGGGAGGGCGGACGGCGGTGGGGACGGCGGTGGCCTCGGGCCGGGCGGGCGCCCAGATATAGCGGCTCGGGGCCAATCGGCGGCGGGGCGGGCGGGCCGGGGCGGGTCGGGGCCGCCCCCTCCCCGGGGGCTCCCTTTCTTCTCTGGCCGGGCGGGATTTCGCGGAGGCCTCCCCCGCGCGCAGCCCCCCCACCTCCCCCGCCACCTCTCAGAAGGAGAGACCCCCGGGTGGGAAGGAAAGGGCTGCCGATGTGGGCCGGTGCTGCCAGACTTTCAGAGGCGAGCTGCCACCCACCCACGGAGTCGGACCCCCGGGCAGTAACGGGGAGGGCGGCAGTGTCCCGCTCGTTGCCGTTCCCCGCACCCCCCTAGGAGGCTTCATGGGGAGGAGAGGGCCCTTTTGCACACCAAGTTCTTGCGAGGTAAGTCCTTCCTAGAGTGCAGCGCCCTCAGAAAAGCCCCCGTCTTTGGGGAGGCGCTCTGACTACCCAAGGGCGCCCATGCACAACGTTCCTGTCAGCACCAGGGACTTTGAATGCTTTTATGGGACAAGGTGGTCTTCGTGTTTCTGTCCTCACGCCCAAACCAACGCTGGCACAAGGCAAAGCTGACACAGGGAGGGAGAGAGCAGAGGCCCTGGACAGAGCCCACAAAGAGAAGGGGGAGCAGGGATGCAGAGGCTGTGGCCTCCTCCCTGCCCACCTCAGGGCCCTTGGGGAGGGGGCTGGGACCCGCAGGGGCTGTCCGGCTCCCCTGCCAGCCCAGACCACCGCTGCAGCAAGAGGCAGGGCTGACCTGGGTCCTTCCCGCTGGCCCCTCCCTGGACCCTCTGACCTGGGGAAGGCCGGGTTCCAGAGGAGCGTCCAGCTTCCTGAATTTTCACTGTCCCCTTCCCACCCCATCACGAGGGGATCTGGCCTCCAGAGCTGAGGGTCTCCCTCTGGAGGTCCTCCCCTCCCACTGCCACACGTGGTTCTACTGGAGGAGTGTCAGGTGTCCCCAGCAGCCCTCCAGGCAGGGTCAGAATCCCCCCACCTCACAGCACATCTCCTCATAGCCTGGAGGTTCTGCAACTGCCCCCCACCCACCCCCGTGCTGGGAGCCCCATGGGTAGAGGCCGCAGATCTTGGTGGCCTTGAGCCTGTGTGGCCAGCAGCTCTTGGGTCTCTGTCCCTGCCAGCCTCGCTAGGCCACATCCAGCCTGTGATGTGAATGGGGGGGGCCCTATGTGGGCCTTGCAGTGCTCCTCAGAGGCTGCTCCTGAACTGTCCCCAGGGGCGCTCCTGCCCTGAGGCCAGCACCCCCAACAGGGGCATCCCCACCGAGGGCTGTCGCGGTCGGTGTCCAGCCCTCCCCAAAGCCCCACATCACAGTCTGTCTCGATGCCCATCGTCCCAGCATGTGGGGCTGGATCTCCCAATCTGACCTCCAGGTCTCCCCTCACTCCAGTTTGCCCCACGGGCCTAGCACCTCGTTCACAGACACTGAAGCAGTGCTGGCTAATGGGGGGCCCTTGGGGCACCAGGAGGTGTGGCCTCTGGCTTTTCTGGGGAGGCAGGCAGAGTTGTGGCCACAGGGATGGATGGGCTTACAGGCCTCTGCCGGGTGGTGCTAGTTCCCCTTCAATCTCAGTGTGGGTGGCTGGACCCTTGGCCAAGTCTCAGTGTGGGTGGGCCTCCTGGGCAGCTGGCAGGAAGGTGCAGGGGGGTGGGGAGCTGTGTGAAGACCCCCAAAGGGCTGCCACTTGGCAGAAGCTCCCTCTACTCACAACTTTAGGGATGGAGTCTGGGGTCACCAGGGCCTGGCTCAGCCTGGGCAGTGGCTGGTCACTGGGGCCTGGGAAAGAGGTCCTCAGGGTCCTCTGCAGCAGCCCTCACATGTTGGGAGAGATTTGCAGTTCCCTGGGGGCTCTGCTTGGTCCTCTGCCACCCCGAGAGCCCAGAGTCACTGGAGCTGCTCTAAACATAGTGGCAGGCAGTGTCCGGCATGACCTCATCGCCTCCTCATCCCCTACAACACCCACCAGCAGCCGCCTTGCCTGGCGCCAGCCAGTGACCCACCCTCTTGGCTGGGCTGTGGGACTCAGGTGTCCGGCCGTCATGTCCTGTGAGCCAGGGCTGGGTGGGGAGCCTCCTGGGGTGCTCCTTTCCCTCCGCATGGCAGGGAGGAGGCGGCAGCCCCGGCCCAGTGTCCAGATGGGACAAAGTGGGGGTAGAGACCACAGTCAGGGTGGCGTGATCTGGAGTCGCAGGGCTGGGGGGACTCTCCAGGGCTGTCCAAGGGATGGTGTGGGTGTGGCCAGCTGTGCTGAGGGAGGGGCATCCGATGTGTGTCTGTGCGTCTGTGTGTGGCCTGTGTCTGTCTGTCTGCCTGGGTGTGGGGTGAGGGGGACTCTAGTGCTGGAGGCTGCCCAGGGCCTTGGGAGCCAGGCAAACTGGACTCTCCTAGGAAGAGATGAGGACCCATAATAGGTCCAGGACCAGGGGTCCTGCTCCGTGAAGGTTGGAGGGTCCCCAAGGCTTCTCTGGCCACTGAGCTTGGGCCCCAGCCTTCTCCAAAGGAGGGCAGGCAGTTCATGAGTCTAGGGGCATTCATCTGCCTCTGGAACCCCACCTCAGTCTATCCTGGACCAGGTGGGCTACGGCCCACCCTTGGGAGGGAGCCTATCTGTAGCCCCCAAACCCCAGTCAGAAAGGCAGAGTTTGGGGGCAAGCTTTCTCTACAAGGGTGGGACTGGCCTGGGCACTGAGTGGACACTGTCCTGCCTACCACCTGCCCCTCTCCCTCAGCCTGGACAGGAACCCCGGCCTCCAAGTGAGGCCTGCAAAGGACGCTGGGTAGTCCCCCTCGGTGGCTCTGGGTGGGGGCTTGGCTTGGCACGGCTCCGGGCCGGGATGGCGGGACCTCCCAGGCACTGCCTGGGCACAGACCTCCCAGGCTCCCGCCAGCCCAGCCCCTGCGGCTGCAAGAGCAGCGAGGCTGGGACCAATTACCGAGTCCGAGGGGCCTGGACCCTCCTGCTCCTCAGGGTGGAGGTGGGGGTTCCTGTTGGATGCAGTTTCAGGTGGAGGGGGCTCTCTGGCCTCCCGAACTTTGGCTCTCTCCAGTTCAGATCCTACTTTCTGCCCACAGCTGAACACCTCTTCCGCAGGGAGCCCCCGCCTTCCAGCCACTGTGCTCGAGAGATGGCAGCATCTTGGTCTCCTGTCTGCAGCCTTGGTGGGCTTCCTTCGGAACTCACTGAGACAGGTCTGGCTCCTTGGGAGCTCTGTATTTAGTGGGCCTTGTTCTGGAGTTGCGGCTCCAGGCCTAGTGAGACATGGCAGAGGCCAAGGCAGGGAGAGTGTGAGGCTGGGGTCAGGGTCTATGCGGAGGCCGCCCGATGCCTCAGAACCAGGTGGACACAGTTGTGTGCATGTCCCTCTTGGCCAATGACAGGTCTGGTTCAGGTGGCCCTTGCCCAGGGACAGAGGCTTCTCCTGGCTCCGTGCCTTCCGGCTCTCAGTCCTGGTATGCACAGTGGGTTCAGGTGGCCCTTGCCCAGGGACAGAGGCTTCTCCTGGCTCTGTGCCTTCCAGCTCTCAGTCCTGGTATGCACAGTGTCACTGGGCTTCCGATAGCTGCCGGCCTCAACTCTGGGAGAGGGCAGGTGGGGCGGCAGGAGGTGCCTGTGCTTTCCTGGACATGAGCAGGCATGAGAGGTGCACGTGCTCACCTGGGCAGCGCCTCTCAACTGTTAGGTGTGGGATTAGGGTTCACCTGACGATTTGCCACAGTCCAGTGGACCCGAGAGTTGCACGCAGAGCTGGGTGTCAGTGCAGATGGGGGAAGGGTCTGAGGGTGTGGGTGTGGGGGGCTGTGCCGGGGCCTGCAGACTGGGGTGTGCAGTGCGAGTGAGGTGCTTTTGTAGTCTGAGGGGTGATGTGCCAGTGTGGTGTCAGGGTCTCTTCTACTCTGGGTGCTGAGGGCCAGCAGGACTGAGCAGGGTGGGGCCTTCTCTGGGTCGAGGGCCACAGGGGGATGGTGGGGGTGGGCTGCGGGCAGCAGATGTGCTGCGGACAGTCAGGGTTAGGTCACCTGCGGCGAGCGGGGCTTCCTAGGTGTTCCTGGGGCCCTGGTGATGTGGAAGCTGTTCTCAAATTCTGGGGTGTTGTGTTGTGGTGGGCATGTACCTAGGGTGTTATCAAGGGCTGTGCCCACTTTTAGGGGCACTGGACAAGAGTCGGGGTGTCAGAGCAGCTGCTTGAGCTCTGCAGGGACCACCGTGTGGCCCTCGGGGTATCCTGCCCTAGGGGCAGCTGCAGGGCCACTTGTGTCCCTGGGTGCTGCGGCCTGTTGTGCGGCCTTCCCAGTGCTGTTTGTTGATGGGGGGTTCCATGGGAAGCAGGCTGGTGGGCTGGGCTGCTCTGGGTTTCTGAGGCAACAGCAGGGAGGGGCCAGGAAACTGCAGCTCAGGAAGGAAGGCTGGCCTTGCAGGAGGAGGGAGCCTGGGGCCAGCTTAGGCTGAGCAGGCGCCAGACATTCTGTCCTGCGGCCCCGGCCCCCACTGGCTGGGAGCTCCTGCCCAAGTTCTACTGGCCCCACCCTTGTCTCCACCTCCATGCTTGTATGGCTGCCTTTATTCAGACCTTGGTGGCTTGGGCTTGGGTCTGTGGGTGACCTGGTCCTGTGCTTATGTGAGCCCCGGTCCCTTTGTGGCTCTGTAGAGGCCCAAATGGGGCTCTCGGTGTACCCTGCACTGTGGGGCATGTGTTAGCACACTCCGGTCCCCAGGGTCCCTGGAGGGCAGTGTCCACTCTGACTGCCCTGTCCTGGGCTGGCCCAGCCTCCTCCTCCCCTGCCAGGTTGGGAAATGGGGAGAGGGAGAACATCCTCAGGGGTCATCTGTCTCCCAGCCATGGAGGGGCACTGCAGGGCTGGACGCCTGAAGCTGTGTGTTTCTTTCTGTTGCTTGTCCTGGCATTGGTGACGGCCAGCTGGGGCTGCCACATGGGCTGGAGGGGGCAGGCCTGTGTTCTGGGGGCTCATCCACCCCTTTGTGCTCAGGGACTGGCAACATCTATCCGGATGTCCATTTGTTCTTGGGCAGCTGCTGTGTAGCAGACCCTGTGTTAGGGGTTAGGAATTTGGCAGAGAACAAAACAGACAGGTCCCTGCCTGTGGGAAGCTTCCATTTTGGTGAAGAGACAGATAGTCAACAAATCCACAAACAGGCCAGTGGCTCACGCCTGTAATCCCAGCACTTTGGGAGGCTAAGGCGGGCAGATCACCTGAGGTCAGGAGTTCGAGACCAGCCTGGTCAATATGGTGAAACCGCCGTCTCTACTTGAAAAAAAAAAAAAAATTAGCTGGGCGTGGTGGGCTCCTGTAGTCCCAGCTACCCCAGAAGCTGAGGCATGAGAATCGCTTGAACCCGGGAGGCGGAGGTTGCAGTGAGCCGAGATCGCACCACTTCACTCCAGCCTGGGTGACAGAGTGAGACTCTGTTTCCAAACAAAAACAAAAGCAAAAACCAAAAATTAGCTGGGCGTGGTGGCACATGCTTGCAATCCCAGCTAGTAGGGAGGCTAAGGCACAGGAATTGCTTGAGTCTGGGAGGTGGAGGTTGCAGCAAGCCGAGATGGCACCACTGTACTCCAGCCTGGGCGACAGAGGAAGACTGTTTCAAAAAACAAAAATGAAGCAAACCTAACCAAAAACAAATCCACAAACAAGCCAGAACTTGGGGTGCCAGGTGTAGGGAGGGCGCTGTGTCAGGGTCACGCATGGCTTTTGCCCTTGGGGGTTCATGGGAGGGGTCTTTTCACAGAGGGAGGAGCATGTGCCAAGGCCCTGGGGCAGGGAGGTCTGCTGGCGTGAGCAGAGCAGGGGGTGCGGAGAGGAGGGGATGAGGCTCAGAGGGAACAAGGGCTGAGTTGGGTCTGGGAGAGTCTTGCATTTTCTGAGTGAGATGGGACCTTGGGAGGTTCTGAGTAGAGCATGATCTGCCTCAGCTCAGCTGCTACGTGAAGATGCGGCTGTGCAGGGCAGGAGGGACGGGCTCACCGCCAGCGGAGAAGGCAGGAGGCTCTGCTTTTGCAGGGGGGCCTGGCCAAGGTTGGCTCTCAGCCCCTGCTCTGGCTGCCCCGGGAGTCTGCCTGGTCTCTCTCAGGGAGGCGTGGGCCCCTGGGAGGTGCTGCCTCAGGGAACCCTGGTTTTGCTGCCCTGTGAGTTGGGTCTCCAGGCTTCACCCATAGCCCGACCCCACGGCTGCCTGGGGCCTCTGGGGAGGGGGAGGGTGGAGTGGCCGCCAGGCTGGCGGGCTGGCAGGGCAGCATTTCTGGGAATTGTGTGGGGGAAGTGCATTGTTAGAGCAAGCCTGGAGCAGGCGGCCAGGGGCCACTGGCCTCTGGGGATGCCTCTTGCCTCCCCCAGCGTTGCTTCTGTGGGAGGGAGCTGGGACTGGGCCAAGGCATGGGCTGGGCTGGGGACTTTCCAAGAGACGCTCCCCTGGGCAGGTGGCTCTTCCCATTCTGCAGACTGGGTGACTGAGGTCCAGAGAGCCGGCTGCTGCAATGGCAAAGCCAGGAGCAGTGGCCCCAGTCCCCATCCCCTGCCCTCATCTGCTGGTGCGTGGGACAGGGGAACACTTGCTGGACCTAAGCCCCGTCGCTGACCTGCCGGTGGGCATCCAAGGGAGGCCTGGGCGGGGTCCACTGGGGACACAGCTCGGCAGAGCCCCCAAGGTGGACTGGAGGGTCTGATGGAACGGGGCGCAGAGATGGCGCCTAGGTGCTTGGGCTGTGGGAGGGCTGCCCACGGGGTGGCAGGGGGTGGGGGCTCCTGGGGCTGCAGGGTCCCCCGGCCCCCGCTCTGTGGTTGCAGGAAGCAAGTGGGGCTTCGTGTGAGTTTGGCAGCAGGAGCCTTCCCACCGCGGCTCTGCCTCAGCCAGAGGGGAAGCGTGGATAGCGGCCACTGGGGTCATGGCCGGCTTTGGGCGGGCAGGGGGCGGGGGACACAAATAGAAAAACAAATGGCCTGAGCTTCCGAAGTTTCCTGGACTCAGGATGGGGGAGGGGCAGGCCTTTGGGCCAAAGGTGCGGCCGGCCCTGTGGGGTGGACCAGGGGGTTTCTCCCCAGACGCCTGTTGGGGCCAGAGCTGCCCCCTCAGACCTCCAAGGTGGGACACAGCTCCTTAGCACCCTCAGGACAGGGCCCTGCTGCCTACAGAGAATTCCTAAAGGCCTATCCATATGTCTCTGTCCATAAAGACATCGAGTGTGGAGGACACCCTGGAGGAGGAGACGGAACCCTCCTGTTTCCTGGGCCTCAGCCCCAGGTGAGGCTGGCCACAGGTGACCACAGAGACCTAGCCTGGTGCTGTGCAGCCGCTGGGTCTGTGAAGGGGAGTGAGGCACTCCTCACCCCGTGGCAGCTCCTAATCAGGCCTCTCCCCTGCACCTGCACATCATGTGGCTGTGGCTCCCAGGATGAGACAGGCTTGGTGAGTGATGAAGGAGAGGGACGCCTCCGCTATAAGCCACCCTTCTTTCAGGCTATGTGCATTTCCGACTCTGTTCTCAGGGTTTAACCGAAACCCTAACGCGGCAGAGTGGGACCCAGGCCTTGCCCTCTGGGCAAGTGGCTCCCTGTGTGTGTGAGGCTCCCGCCTGCATGTGTGCGTGTGCATGTGTGCGTGTGCATGTGTGCATGTGTGCGTGTGCATGTGTGCCTGCACACGGGGAAGGAAAGTTTTTCAGCTGCTGAGGATGGGAGTAGGGGCTGGAGCAGCACCCTGCAGGGACACCCCACAGGAAAATCGATGGTTCTGATGTTCTCAGCCTCTGGGTGCAAATTCCTGAGGGCACAGGAACGTCTGGCACCCCTGGGCAGCTTGCTGGGGGAAGCTCCGTGGAGGAGGACATCCCGAGGTCGGTAAGTCCAGGCGGGGTCTGCTGGGGGGCGGGAATGCTCTGAGCAAGGTCCCGGAAGTCCAGAGCTCCTGAGGGATCCGGGACCAGGGGCACTGGGGAGTTTCAGAGTTGGTCGCTGCCACAGCCCTCACAAGTGAGGCTGCTCTCTGGGACTGGCCACCTTCTCGCCTCGGCCACTTCGCAGTCCTGGGGGGCAGCTGTGGCTCTTGCTGGGAACCAGCTGAACCTCCCTGGGGCTTGGGGGTGGGGAGGTGCTGAAGTGAGGCTCACCCGTCTGTGGCTCACTCCCGCCACCTAGAGGCCACTGTTCCTCACAGGCTCGGGGCCAGTCACCGGCCTCCGCCCAGGGGGCAGGACCTCCCCACCGGATTGCAGTTTCTCTGATCACCAGGATGGGCCTACACCTCTCCCCCTGCAGCGGCTGCTTCCACGCAGGACTGGAGCATGTCAGGGTTCGGGGCTGCTGTCAGGGGAGTGGCTGCGGCCTGCAGGTCAGAGGCACCCGACTTCTTTTGCTAACCCCCTTCTCTGCCTGTCCTGTCCACCCCTTTCTCTCCATCACCTGCCCCTGCCATGAACCATGAACCAGTGACCCCATCCACACCTGTCTGACCAGGCTCCCCACGTGCCCTGACGTAGCCCCGTAGGCTGGGCCCACAGCTGACATCCCTTCCTGGGGAATTCCCGACCTGCCAGCCATTGTTCTTAAGGCACCCCAGCATCTTGACCTCCCTCTATCTGCAGCCTCTGTGGGCCGGGCCTCCACTAGGACCCCCTGAGACATGTCAGGCTCCTCACGAGCTCTGTCTTGTGTGGCCATGCCCAGGGCCCCAGGAGGTAGAAGACCAGCGGGCATCTCATGGAGGAGGAAAAAGGGCCCAGAGAGGGACTTCCGCTCCAGCTCAGCAAGGGAGTCCCAGTTCCCAGAGTCCTTGTTGAGCCCCCTGCTCCACGGTGCACAAGGTAGAATTCATGGGATCATAAAGGAAACCAGTTCTACCAACACACGGTTAGGAAAATACTTTCTTAAAGTGTGATATCAAAACCCAAGTGCTTCTTTACCAAGAACAAGATGTGACCAACTGGGCAGCCTCTGCAGTTCCAGCAGCAGCCAGCGTGTGGGCACGACACAGTTCCCATCCGTGCCAGCTCAGCATGGGCCCAGATGACCAGATTTGGTTCATGGCCTTGTTCATAACTGAACGAACGACACCTTTCTGCTACAGGTCAGTATAAAGGAGATGATGGGCCAGACGCGGTGGCTCACGCCTATAATCCCAGCACTTTAGGAGGCCGAGGTGGGCGGATCACCTGAGGTCAGGAGTTTGAGACTAGCCTCACCAATATTATGTAACCTCATCTCTACTAAAAGTACAACCATATTAGCTGGGTGTGGTGGCGCATGCATGTAATCCCAGCTACTCGGGAGGTTGAGACAAGAGAATTGCTTGAACTTGGGATGCGGAGGTTGCAGTGAGCTGAGATTGTGCCACTGCACTCCAGCCTGGGCAACAAGAGCGAAACTCTGTCTCAAAAAAAAAAAAAAAGGAGATGATGGTTTCTTCCCACCAGTTTATTTTCTATCAGGGGTTTGGTCTCTGACTCCCTGGATTGTTGAGACACCTTGCACCCCACCAACACTTCAACCAGGACTGGGCTTGCCCCTCTCTCCTTTCTGCCTCCACTCTTAGGAACTTGCAGCTATCTGGGGTCAGTTCTCCTCCGTGCTGTCTGGGCTGCTCCTCCTGCCCAGGAGGGGCCTCTCTGTGCTCCAGCCCTTGCCAGCATCTCAGGATCTGCAGTCCTGATACTTGGACACCCCCAGCTTGAGGGCTGGCTCCCTTCCGTTGGTCTTCACATCAGCTCACCCTCGGCTGTTGGAGAAGCCTGTGTGTCTGGCCAGGCAGGCTCCATGGATGTGTCCAGTGTCTTCATGGGTGGCGGGAACAGCTTTGAAACCCTGGCCACCCGGACCTCCGAAGCCACGATTTCTGGGGTTCCTGCTGGTTCCTGCACAAGGGCAGTTCCAGTGCGGCTTCTACAGGACCCTGGCCAGCTCCTTCGTCTGGTTGCCAGCCATTGAGAGGGTGGCTGAAGGGTGGGTGGCTCCAGCCTCGTCTCGTGTGCCTCTGATGAGGCTGGACCCTTCAAGTCTTCCTATATGCCCACACCATGGAATTCTTGCCACGAGGACTTGCTTGGATGGTCTAGGCTGGAAGCTATGGCCCCAGCTCAGTGCGGGCAGAATCAGTCAGTATGGAAACTGTGTTCATCTATTAATAATAATATAATCATATAATATCACAGGGCCTCTATCCTAGAAAGGCTTTGCTCCTCACAAGGAATTCTATGCTTTTTCCTTACGATTGAGGTTTTTTTTTTTTTTCGATGGAGTCTGACTCTGTTGCCAGGCTGGAGTGCAGTGGCGTGATCTCGGCTCACTGCAACCTTTGCTTCCCGGATTCAAGCAATTCTCCTGCCTCAGCCTCCTAAGTAGTTGGGACTACAGGCACATCCCGCCATGCCTGGCTAATTTTTTTTTTTTGTTTTTTGTATTTTAGTAGAGACGGGGTTTCATCATGTTGCCCAGGCTGGTCTCAAACTCCTGAGCTCAGGCAGTCCACCTCCCAAAGTGCTAGGATTACAGGCATGAGCCACCGTGCCCGGCCTGAGTCTTTTTTTTTGAGACAGAGTCTCACTCTGTCACCCAGGCTGGAGTGCAGTGGCACAATCTGGGCTCACTGCAACCTCCACCTCCTGGGTTAAAGCGATTCTCCTGCCTCAGCCTCACAAGTAGCTGGGATTACAGGCATGTGCTACCACACCCGGCTAATTTTTGTATTTTTAGCAGAGACAGGGTTTCGCCATGTTGGCCAGGCTCTTCTGGAACTCCTGACCTCAGATAATCCACCCACTTCAGCCTCCCAAAGTGCTGGGATTACAGGGGTGAGCCACTGTACCTGGCCAAGATGAGTCTCTCTCTCTCTTTCTTTTGAGACAGAAGTCGGCCAGGGCTGGAGTACAATGGTGCTATCGTGGCTCACTGCAACCTCCACCTTCCGGGTTCCAGCAATTCTCCTGCCTCAGCCTCCTAAGTAGCTGAGATTATAGGCACCTGGCACCACACCTGGCTAATTTTTGTAATCTTGGTAGAGAAGGGGTTTCACCATGTAGGCCAGGCTGGTCTTGAACTCCTGACCTCAGGTGATCCACCTGCCTCGGCCTCCCAAAGTGCTGGGATTACAGGCATGAGCCACTGTGCCCGGCCGAGATGAGTCTCTTAACTGACCACATTTTCTTTTTCATTTTGGCTGCTGGGAAGCTCAGTTATATCTGATTAGTGCCACAGACAGCCCAAGGAACGCTCAGCCCATTCCACCTGCCACCTGGCCTCAGAGTTCCTTGGCCTGAACTTGAATGAATATAGGATCCACAACACTAAAGACAGCGGCTCCTTGGTCCACACCCTGCCCCAGGATTGCGCCCTCTCCAGCAAACCACCCAGCGTCTGCATACTGAGGAGTTGGCAGGCATTGGTGGGAATGCTGGCCCCGCACCTGTCCTCGTCCTCAACCCTTCCTAGGCCTGGGCCATCTCTCTGGCTGCCTGCAGTCTGGCCCTACCTAGGGACCTCCAACAACAAGGGCCATGAATACTAATGGTCATGCTCCATCCGCTGCTCTGTTCTCAGGCATGTGATGTCAATCAGCTTACATCATCTTGACAGGAGCCCTGTGAGGAGGCCACTGTCGTCAATCCAGCTTCACAAGTGGGGAGACTGAGATACAGAGCGGTCAACGTGCAGAGCCCAGAATCTGCTCCCTGGTAGCTGACTTGGGAGGCAGAGGCCCCCCGCACCTCGCGAACCCCAGCAGTGGCCCCTTCCAGACGCCACGTCCAGCTACTGCGCGCTTACACCTGCAGGGCCCCACAAGAGGCCTCCCAGTGTGCGCGGGCCTCTTGAAGAGATAACCTCCACTCAGAGGTCCGAATGACCCAAACTCGGCTCTGGGAGGCTGGGGACGGCCCTCCAAGCCAAGGGGGGAGCGCGCAGGGCCCAGCGGGGCCCAAGAGCAGGGCTGAGGGCGCTGGGTCCTGAGCCACCCACTGAAGGACGCTGGGGGACAGCAAGGCCCGAAGCAGGAGGAGAGAAAGGAGCGGATTCCCGGGCTTCCTGGGCCCGGGTCGCTCCAGGCTGTCTGGGCTCCGGGAGGGGCGTGCCCGGGGCGCCTCCCGAGCGGGTTATAGTGGGACCACGAGTCTCTGGCGGCGGCGGGTCAGGACTACACTTCCCAGGAGGCTGTGCGCGCCGCGTGGCGCCTGGGAGTTGTAGTCCAGAGCGCGGCGGGCGCGGGCGCGACGGGCGGGGCAGGCGGGCGCGTGGACTACGCGTCCTAGGATGCCGCGCGCGGCCGCGGGGCCGAGGGTTTGAACCGAGGGTCCGCCGTCCGCGGCGGGGCTGCGTCGGCTGCGGCGGGTGCGGGAGGTGGCGACGAGCGGGGCCGGGGTCCCAGCCCGGCTGCGGAGGCGGGCGCGACGGGTGCGGGGGTCGCTGCTCCTGAGGCGATGATGGGCAAGGAAGAGGAGATTACGCGGATCGCCCGGAGGCTGGACAAGATGGTGACCAAGAAGAGCGCGGTGAGGGGCGCGGGCCGCCAGGACCCCGGGAACCCCGCCCCGCCGAGACCCCGTCGAGCCCGCCGACCCCGTTAGGGCCGGAAGACGACCTGAGGGGCAGGACGAGACCCCTCCCCGGCAGAGACTTCCGGGACGCAGGGGAGACCCCCACCCGTGGCCGAGACCCCTGCCCCGAGCCAGCCCTGCCGTTCACCCCCGCAACCCCGGCAGAGGCCGCATTCGGGCCTGGACCTTGTCCCGGGAGAGCCACCCGCTCTGGACTCAGAAGCCCCCTCGCCCGCAGTCACAGGCTCCGCGCCGTTCCCTGTCCCTTAACTCCAGATCCCCAGCCTGGCCCGTCGACTCCTTCCTTGGCCCCGTCCCGCCTCCGGGAGCCCCCGGGGTGTTCGGGCCTCCTTTGCGGCCGCCCCAGCCCCTTGCCTTCCTCCTTCCTGGCCTGGGCATCCTCACGGGCTGAGCCCCGCCCCCAACTCAGCCCTCTCCCACGCTCCGTCTCCCATAGCATTTGTCGCCAGCAACAGTTTGGAGTCTGAGGTTGGATCCCTTTTTCTTCTGGAGCTGCCGTGCCTCCCCTGCCTCTTCCTGGCCCTTGTCATCCTCCTTCACGGCCAGCCAGATACCTGTCTTGCCTGTGGGGCCCATTTTCTTCCCTGTCTGTCCCCACCCCACAAGAACCAGGTTTCTCTAATAAATTCTCTCCCTTCTTTAGCCAGGACTTAGCCCGCAGTAACTTGGGTTGTGGGTAGTTATGTGGACACCCTCCGAAAAGAGCCGGTGTGCTTATATAAGACCCAGGAGATGGGGCAAGCCTCCTCTGGGAGCATCTGGGCGCTGGAGCCTCTGGCCAGCTCTGTTCACTGCGGCCTGGGCCTCTATCGTCTTGCGAGGAGGCTGTGTGTAAGGCCTTTGAAGGGGCCAGGCCAGTGGGGGTCCAGTTCCGGAGTCATGACCTTGGCAACCTCTGCACCCTCCCACAGAAGCATCTTTAGATGATGCTGCCTGCCTCCTGGGGGACGGGGAGGGGTCTGGCCGCAGGTCATGTGGAACTCCTGGCAGGCTCCATAAATGTGACCTGCGCTTTCCCATCCAGACTGTGAACTCCTGAGGCAGGGCCAGCTGTGGGTCTGCCAGGCCAGCCCAGGGCGGCGAAGGTGGCTGAGTCATAGGCTTTGGGTGATTTGTGCAGCCACCCCAGGGCTGTGTGACTGCAGTAGGGGTTTGGGGGATGCTTTTTGGGCTGAGCAGGGTTGAGTCTGGGTTCCTGTGACCAGGGTTCTGGACTGGGGTCTGCACTGGGAAGGGGTGGGCTCCCACTCATTCCTGCTGGGTGCAGCACCTCATCATTGCGTTCACACACACCCCTGGAAAACTGGTCAGCACAAAGTAGGGGTCTGTGAACCATCCATAGCTGTTTCCAGAGATGACCCGAGAATGGAGTTGTATCCCTTCTTAAAGGAGACAAAACACAAACGATAAAAGCTGTAGGTGGGAAAAGCAAAGGTGGGTCATGGAGCCAGGGGAGGGTTGGGTGGGGCTAGGCAGAACTGATGGGGGGTTTCTGGTGGAAGAACAGCTTGAGTAGAAGCCCCAGGGGAGAATGAAGAGGGGAGGAGGGCACTGTGCAGTGGGGCTCCTGGGGGTCCCAGTGCCTGAGGTCCCCTTGGGGACTTGGGGGCCAGGTTTGGGGGATTTTATACCTCTGGTCCTGAGCCCACTGAGAGCCACGTAAGCTGGTGCAGGGCTTTCAGGGAACCAGTGCCCTTGGCTCTGGCTGTCGCCTCAAGGCTGGACTCTGTACAGCCCAAGGGGCAGGGCCGGCCTGGGAGGGTTTCGGAGGGGCTGCGGCGTGAGCAGACATGCCACCCAGAGTGCTGGGGTTGTGTGGGGTCTGGGTCGTGGGACATCTGATCAGGTCACCTTAGGGCAGAGGGAATGATACACACGTGGAAACACATGCACGTGTTACAGAGGAGGTGGGGGCGTTGCAGGGCGCAGTTGCAGGTTTAGATAGGAGAGGCCTTGCTGAGAAGGTGTTGTTTAAATAAAGCCCGGTAGGGAGGGAGGAAGATGTCCTGGGAGGCTGCCCCAGGCAGTGGAGCTGCAGGTGCAGAGGGCCTCAGTGGTGGCTCAGGGCCCTTGGGGAGCACTGAGGAGCTTTACCTGGTGTGGAAAAGTGGCCGGTTTGTGCCTGGCCTCAGCGTGTGAGGACCTGGAGGAAACACAGATCTTGGGTGGGGAGACAAGGTAGAGAGAACGGGTGCGTTGCAACTGTCCGGGCGAGGGGTGCTCGACTGCTTGGGGGCAACTCAGAGGCCTGGAGGATAGATGAGGGGGCTGTGGGTCTTGTAGGTGTTGGCTGTGGCTGTGCCTGAAAGTTTGGCCTCCTTCACAGCCGGTGGGGGATGTGTGCTTTGGGGAGAGGCTGACCTGCACATCAGGGCATGAATGCACGGGGGAATGAATGAACCTGGCGCTGCACCTTCACCTGGGTGTGGCCCTGGCTGCTGGGGAGGGGCCATGGCTCTGAAGCCTCCTGATTTGCCCGGGGAGCTGGCATTTCTGTTCTGGTTTGGGTCAGTGACCTGAGGTGGTTACAGTGAAGTCAGTGAGGTCATTGCCACGGATGTGGGTTACAACCTGGAATGCTTGAGGCTGCAGATCCCCTCCCGTTCTTGATTGAGCAGTAAGGGCTCCCTGCTGTGGTGCAGGAACAGCCCTGGGTGTCTCCAGGTAGAGGAATTTTGGTTTCTTTTTGACCCCAGGTTGAATCTCCAAATTGTCACTGCCTTGTGTTCCCCTCCAGTAGGCAGAAGGAGGTGATATTGTCCATTGAGATCTAAAGTCCTTTATGAAGGTCCTCCTTCTCCTTCCAGGAGGGAGCCATGGATCTGCTGCGGGAGCTGAAGGCCATGCCTATCACGCTGCACCTGCTCCAGGTAGGTCCCTGCCTGCCCCAGGTCCGGGACAGCTCCTGGGGACAGCCCAGGAGATGGCAGTTCTCAGGGCACCTGGCAGGGCTTCCCCACCCTCCCCATCGGGCCTTAGTTGGCACAAATGCCTGTTCCTGAGGAGAGGGTCTCTGCCTTTCTCTGGGCTCAGTGGGACAGGGAAGGGAGTCTGAGGATATTGGGAGAGGCATCTACCTCCCTGGCAGGTCCTGGGCTCCTGTCCTGTGGGAGCCACCAAGGGTCTGCCAGGAGGATCTGACCCCTAGGGTGGGCCCCTGCCTCCACCCGACTCAGACCACTTGCCTTGTAGTCCACCCGAGTCGGGATGTCTGTCAACGCCCTTCGGAAGCAGAGCTCCGACGAGGAGGTCATTGCACTGGCCAAGTCCCTCATCAAGTCCTGGAAGAAGCTCCTGGGTGCGGCTTGGGCAGTGCCCACCGAGTGCTGGGACCAGGGCCCCAAGAAGTGCTGCCTCTGGCTGGTCAGCACAGTGTAGGGTCTTGGCAGTGCCCACCCTGAGCCAGGTCACCTGGGAGTGAGGCAGTGGCAACCCCAGACCATGAAGCACCCAGTTTGGGGCTGGCAGTGGATCAGTGGGTGCCTGTCAGCATTGGCTGGGAGGGGTGGCCTAGGAGGCAAGGGTGTGTGCTGGGGGCAGGGTTCCAGGTAGAACAAGGAGAGAGGAGCGTTGAGGCCAGGACTTGAGTTGACAGCACTGAGAGTCTGGGGTGAGCTGGGAGGTCACACACAGGGGAAGGTCACGGCCAGGAGGCTGGGAAGTGTCAGGAGAGGGGAAGGGAAAGGGAGAAGTTGGGGCCGCCTCAGCTACTCAGAGGGAACGGAGGGGCAGCCCCCTGCCAGGGGAGGGAAGGGCAGGGCTGGGCTGGACTGAAGGCTGCCTCTTCCTGGAGACAATGCGGTGACTGCTGCTATCTGGGATGGAGGCAGCCCTCCTAGCTCTGTCCACACCCTTGTGAAACAGTCTCTCTAGCCCTGTGTGACCCTCAGGCCGTACACAGCACGAGCATGTCCTCATCCCCAGCCCTTGGGCCTGGCTCTGGGCTTTCAGGAAGAGCTTTGTTGGGGACATACTTGGTCTCTCCGGCCAGTACAGGCAAGAGGGTAGGCCCCAGAGGTGGCCTTTGTGAGTGGGTGCTTGTATAGGAAAGTGTTCTGGGGAGGTAGCCTTGGGACTGCAGAGACGGACAGGTTGCTGGGGAGGGTGAGGGCCTGTTCACTGAGGTTGGGTGCCTTCCTGGCCCCTGGCTCCTCTGGCTGGGTGGGGAGCTGGGGGCTGGGGCTGGGAGGGTTGGTGGTTGGGCTGAGGCTGCACCTTGGTGGTGGTCTGTGCTCGTCCCTCCTCTGCCTTCTCCTGATCAGCCCATCCCTGATCTTTCCTCAACTGCAGATGCTTCAGATGCCAAAGCCAGGGAGCGGGGGAGGGGCACGCCTCTGCCCACGTCCTCGAGGGATGCCTCAGAGGCCCCGGATCCCAGGTAGTACACCTGGAAGGCAGGTGCACACACTCCTGCTTCCCAGCCTGTTTCCTTGCCAGGGAAAGGGTGCTAATCTCCGTGTGCCTAGGCACTGCTTTGAGGCCGCACACAGAGTCGGTCAACCTCATGTTGGACACTGGCCTTGTGGTGTGTCCTGCCTGCACTGACCACTTGAGACGCGGGTCTGTGTCCACCTGGCTGTCAGCCACCACCCGGGCTTCTTCCTCTGCCAAGAGCTGCCGTATACCCTGAGTGGGCCTGTGGGAGCCCCCTGGCCGCTTCCCCCAAGACCCCCTGCTGGGTCTGGTTCTTGCTGGCCCACTCTGGCTTCCCAAACCTCAGCCTCACTCAGCGAGGGCCCCTCCTTCCTGCAAAATTCTGCCCAGAACCAAAGGCGGGTGCCCAGCTCCCCTGTCCTGCCCTGCATGTGCATGTGTGGTCACTGCTGCCGGGGGCGATGAGGGCTCTGTGGCCTGCAGCTGGGAGCTGGGGGTGCTTGTGGTGGCAGGCTATGGCCGAGAGATGGCTTTGCCCTTGACCATACTGGGTTGTGGTGACTGGGCCACCAGGAACTCATGGACACCTTTGCAAGTTGCTTTTCCTCCAGGAAGCTGCCTGCTTCTGCCAACTTCCACAGAGGGGATGTGGGGAGGGCTAGGTGGCTGCAGCCTGGCCGTTGGGCAGCCTCACGTTGGGGTCCAGCCCTGAGGGGCATCCTTGTCCCATTCTGTACGTGCCTAGCAGGGTCATCTGTGACAGTAGAACCTGGCCTTGGGTGGCCCTGCCTTGTCTCCCCACCAGACAGCTGTGGGTCTCTCCCTCTCTCCACCAGACAGCTGTGGGTCTCTCCTTCTCCCTGACCAGGCAGCAGCTGCAGCTGCCCTCACCAGAGTATTTGTGTTGCGGCCCCGCAGGTGGGCACCCCAGAGGTGGCAGGAACTGCCAGGTTCATTCTCATCCACTGGAGATGCTGCCCAGATGCTGACTGCTGGGTCTAGGATCCTGTTCCCACCTGGGAACATCCTGACCCACTGGGGACCTCACGGCCCATTCCCTCCTGGCTGCTGGGCACACCCCATGGACATCTGGGCTCAAGATAGGCAGGGCCACAGGCCATTGTTGGACTCTGGCAGAGTGGAGCAAGCAGGATTTGTAGGGGGATTATGCTGTGGCACCTGCTGCTTCTGGGGTCAGTGTCTTGCTGGGGTGCAGCCTTGAGTCTCAGTCTAGCTGGCCCTGGCTCTCTGCAGCCGCAAGAGGCCGGAGCTGCCCAGGGCACCGTCGACTCCAAGGATCACCACATTTCCTCCGGTGCCTGTCACCTGTGATGCTGTTCGCAACAAGTGCCGTGAGATGCTGACTGCTGCCCTGCAGACGGCCCGTGAGTGCGGCCGGCCCTGGCTCCTGACACCCGCTGGGATTCTCAGGGCGGCCCAGGCCCCTGCCTGCCCGAGGAGGCCTGCTTCTAGAGGGGCGACTCTCCTCCCCCAGCCCATTGCTGCGGCCCTGGCAGCGGCGTGGGGCCTGTGCCTGGATCGTGGCCTCTTCCAGGGACATGGATGTCCCTGCTAAGCTGCCAGGGTGATTTGCAGGCAGAAGGGGTGGCAGGTGGAGAAACCAGTGGGGGCAGCTAGTCAGGGCTCCCTCTTGCAGACGACCACGTGGCCATCGGTGCGGACTGCCAGCGCCTGTCGGCTCAGATCGAGGAATATATCCTTTGGGCAGGGGCTATGGTGGAGTCAGGAGGCTGCCTGGCCTGGTGGCCTCTGGTGGCTGCTGGATGCCGCTGCCCAGCTGTCCAGGGGTCACCTGCCTGGGGGGTCACCTGCCTGGGGGGTCACCTGCCTGGGGGGGTCACCTGCCTGGGGGGTCACCTGCCTGGGGGGGGGGGGTCACCTGCCTGGGGGTCACTCTGCCTGGGGGCTCCCACGGCTCTGGAGGGTCACCTGCCTCGGGGGCTCACCTGCCTGGGGGTCACCTGCCTGGGGGTCACCTGCCTGTGGGCTCACCTGCCTGGGGGTCACCTGCCTGGGGGTCACCTGCCTGGGGCTCACTCCGTGCCTGGGGGTCAGCTGCCTGTGAGTCACCTGCCTGGGGGTCACCTGCCTGGGGGGTCACCTGCCTGGGGGCTCACCTGCCTGAGGGTCACCTGCCTGGGGGCTCACCTGCCTGGGGGTCACATGCCTGGGGGTCACCTGCCTGGGGGGCTCACCTGCCTGGGGGTCACCTGCCTGGGGGTCACCTGCCTGGGGGCTCACCTGCCTGGGGTCAGCTGCCTGGGGGAGTCACCTGCCTGGGGGTCACCTGCCTGGGGGTCACCTGCCTGGGGGTCACCTGCCTGGGGGCCCACCTACCTGGGGGTCACCTGCCTGGGGGTCACCTGCCCGGGGGCTCACCCGGCCTGGGGGCTGCCTGGGGCTCACCTGCCTGGGGGCCAGCTGCCCGGGGGCCACCTGTCTGGGGCTCACCTGCCTGGGGGTCACCTGCCTGGGGGTCACCTGCCTGGGGTCACCTGCCTGGGGTCACCTGCTCCTGGGGGCGCGTCACCTGCCTGGGGGGTCACCTGCCTGGGGGGGTCACCTGCCTGGGGGGTCAGCTGCCTGGGTGGGGTCACCTGCCTGGGTAGTCAGGTTGTTTCGCTCCAGGAGGCCCCCAGACCAGCTGAGAGGCTGATTCTGCCTGCTGGTGGGGCCTAGGTTCCCTGGGGCTGTAGCCTGAAGCTGGGTCTCAGTCAGGAATGGACCTGTGGAGGCTCGGCCCTGCAGCCCTCACCTGTCCACCAGGTGTGGGTGGGCAGACCGACCCCCGTGTGGCTGGGCAGAACCTTTCCAGCCAGCGCCCCAGTATGACCCCCAGCGGGGCAGTGGTAGGTGGAGGGCAGCGACGTTGTCCTCGGGTGGGTCCTTAAACACTTGCACGCATCTTCCGGGACGTTGGAAACACAGACATGAAGTACAAGAACCGTGTAAGGAGTCGTATCTCCAACCTGAAAGATGCCAAGAACCCTGACCTGCGGCGGAATGTGCTGTGTGGGGCCATAACACCCCAGCAGATTGCCGTGATGACCTCAGAGGTGAGCCCCTGTTGGAGGGGCTGGAGGGCTGCTCCCTTGGAGTGGTGGGCTAAGCCACTGGCCCCGTGCTCCAGGAGATGGCCAGTGATGAGCTGAAGGAGATCCGTAAGGCCATGACCAAGGAGGCCATCCGAGAGCACCAGATGGCCCGTACTGGTGGCACGCAGACAGACCTGTTCACCTGCGGCAAGTGCAGAAAGAAGAACTGCACCTACACGCAGGTGAGCGGCCACTGGGCACCTCCCCCGGGCCCAGTGTCCTCAGGGCATCCCGTGCCCCTCCTAGGAGCCCATACCTGTTCCCGCCTCTGCTGTGAGTTTTCCCAGCCTCTCTGTCCCTGACTAGGCTAAGGCATGATGGCCACCTTCAGGGACCACTCCCCTCTACCCAGGACCCTGGGCCCCAGGAGGCAGCGTCTTGGGTGGTGGGGTCCACTTGTTCCAGGTGCTCAAGTCGGAGGGCCCGGCCTGCCCGGCCCAGCTGCACGGAGGGCCCTCGAGGTGTTGATGCTGGTGGGGGGGCTGTGCCGCCTGCTGCCTGGCAGTGACCGCAGGACTCTCCATCCCTGCCATGGAGGTGGACACTGAGTGTGCCGACGAGACTGTGGATCCCATGAGATGGCAGGGACCCTGTTAAGAGGGGAGTGCGGCCGGGCACGGTGGCTCATGTCTGTAATCCCAGCACTTTCAGAGGCCGAGGCAGGTGGATCATGAGGTCAGGAGTTCGAAACCAGCCTGACCAACATGGTGAAACCCTGTCTCTACTAAAAATACAAAAATTAGCCGGGGGTGATGGCACACGCCTGTAATCCCAGCTACTCAGGAGGCTGAGGCAGGAGAGTCATTTGAACCCGGTAGGTGGAGGTTGCACAGTGAGCCGAGATCACGCCACTGCACTCCAGCCTGGGTGACAGAGCAAGACTCTGTCTCAAAAAAAAAAGGGGGGGAGTGTGTTGAGGCGGCTGCTGCGCCTGGCAGATGGGACTTGTGAGGGGCTGCAAGGACAGCCATTCCTTCCCCTCAAAGGCTGCATGGGGCCTGAGTCTGTGCAGAGCCTGCCTCTCTCCTGCTCCCAGCCTCTGGTCGGAACAGGCTCTGCCTGTGGCCTGGGGCTCACCCTTGGGCCTTCCGGAAGGCAGCCACGGGCACTGGGGACCCCCGCTAGTTCCCCCCACCATTGGGACCCTCCTGCCTAGCCAAGTCTGGGCCCTGCTGGTCCCCAGCCAATGTGAGCTGCTTCAAGGCCACGCAAGGGCCTCTGCCCCAATAGACACTGTCTCCCTCCCCCGGAGGCTCAGCTCTGGAAGGCTGGAGTCACAAGGCGGCCTCAGATCAGGTCACCTATGGGAGCTCAGCGGCTGCAAGGCCAGCTCTGCCCATGTTGAGGGGACACTCCCTGCAGCAGAGCATGGAGGTGACCCTGGGCTCACCCAGCCCTCCTTACAGGTGCAGACCCGCAGCTCTGATGAACCCATGACCACCTTTGTTGTCTGCAACGAGTGTGGAAACCGCTGGAAGGTGGGTGAGCGGGTTCAGGCTGCCCCTTCCAGCTCCATTCTCTGGAGGTGGGGTGTCTCAGCCTCTGTGGGGTCTGTGGTGTGAACTGGGGATGGCCCTGCCCAGCCAGCCTCCTGGGAGTCGTGGGCATGGTGGGGGGAGACTTCAGCCTTGGGTGAGCCTGTGTGGCCTTCTCTCTGGGGAGTCTCGTGGCCACAAGGCTGGAGGCCTCACCCCCTTTTCCGCAGTTCTGCTGAGCCCTTGTGCAGATGTGCTGCAGCCTTGGGCCGTGGCCAGTGCTGGTCTCCCCCGCCCACGTCCTCCGTTGATACAGCTTCTCTGGAGACCCTAGAAGGCGGCATGTCCTGCCGTCAACCTGCCTGCCTGGATTGCACCTTTCTGCCCTTTCCCCCTCGTTATTAAATGTTTCTTTTTGCCATCTTGTTCTCAGCTGTTACTCCTGGTGGGCCCTGTCCCCATGTTTGACCTGTTCGTGCTGCTGTGGACAAGGCCCCTCCCTGAGGTCAGGCAGTGCTTGGGCTTGGCCCTGGTGGGTCAGCCCCAGGAGAGGAGCTTGGCTGACCTTCAGAGATCACCTGGGGTGGCTCTGCCTGTGAGGGCAGGTGGGGAGAGGGTCTTGCGTGCGTGCTGACAGCCTGTTGTCCTGTGCAGGGCACTGTCCTCCCCACTGCCTCGGGCATGGGCAGCTTGGGACCCAGGTCCTGGCACTTCAGGACAGCTTGTCCCCACGCTGCCGTCTCTGTTCTTGTGGGAGTTGTGGTCTCAGGGCCCTGAGCCAATTTCAGCTTCAACTCACTTAACTTCCCAGAAACGTAGGGGATGGGGTGGTGAGCACTCAACTCATAGGGCCTGTGAGATGGCAAAGATGGCACTGTGCCTGGCACCAAGCAGCCCCTCCTGCCCCAGCCAGCCTGCCTCTGGGGACCCCATCCAGCTGGGCCCGAGCGGCACTTCCTGTTGCCTCCTGACTTCTGAGGTGCTGTGGGTTGCACTGTTCTGGTCCACTTTCAGCAAAGGAGCTCATGCCCCGGGCGGGGTTCAGCACAGCCACCCGCTGGGGCCACTGTTCTGAGGCGGGCTCTGGTGGAGCCCAGGGCGTGGGAAGAAGGTGAGCACACAGGCTGTGTCTCCCCTCCCAAGGGGCACTGGAGCCCCTGCCCTGGGACAAGGGCACTGCTCCCCAGCCCTGAGTCTGGAGCCACTCCTCATTCTCCAGTCTCTCCCCACACTTGGACAAAAATGAGTAGAGACTTGTGCTTTAAAAATATCTTCAATAATAAGACATCTTATTTTTGGGGGGTTAGGGTTAGAGATAAATATGAAAACTTTTTTTTTTGATAAAACACCTAGTAAGGATATGTTTCCAGGTTTAAAGTTCATGAACATATAAAACAGAAATTGGGTCCTGCCACCTTGAGTGCAGGATTCTGAGGTCCTACATCTGGTTCTGAGGCTCTGGGTTTGATTCTGGGTACAGACAGCTCAAGTAGGAGGTCTCCTTATGTCACACAACTACATGATGCAGAGGTTCCGCTCCCCACCAAGGCTTGTCCGGGGCCCGTCAGCTGCCTGGGGAAGAGGCCCCAACGAGGCTCCTGGGTCCAGCATGGCTCCTGGGGGGGCCCCTACTTTCACCATGCAAGAGCCCCCACCAGGAGCACTGGGCCAGCCAGCTGCGGGCCGATGAGAAGGCTTCTGGCCCACCCTGCACCTGGAGCTCCTGCTTGGCCACGGGTGGGCAGGGCCAGGAGGCACAGCACTCCCCACTGGGTCTAGGACCGTCTCCATGGGTGGGGACCCCAGCCGGCCAGGCTGGGCCTGCAGGCGTGTGCCCCGACAGCCAACACCTGAAGGCAACCCAGAGTCGGCCATAGGAGGCGGTGGGGTCTGCGCTGCTGGGGGCGGCCTAGGCCTCGGAGGAGGACTGTGACGGCCCCTGCAGCAGCAGGGCACGGTAGGTGGGAGAGCTGAGAAAGCGTGGGTAGGAGTCCCGGTGCATGAGTGTGTAGATCTGCAGCTGTGCGTCGTCAAACGTGTGTGCGGATGGCTCCTGCATCTTCTTGTTGATGCCCTCCCGCACACGGGAGTCCAGGCTCACCTGTAGGACAAGGCACTGAGGTCAGGGGGCTAGGGAGGTGCCTTCCCCACCTCGTGCCCGGAGCAGGCGGCCCGCTGCCCCTTGTGGTGTCCGGCGCACCTCCTTGGGGGACAGGATGGACACGTAGTCCTCGTAGATGAGCCTCGCCTTCTCGTCCACCACGTGCTGGTTGGCCTCGGCCTTCAGCTCCTCACAGGCCAGCCAGAAGAGCATGTTCTCCTCGCTGTACTCTGTCCGCAGGAACGCCCGGAACACGCTGCGTCCCGCTGGGCTGTGCATCAGCTTGTCAAAAGACTGGGCCCAGCTCTGCACCTCCTCAGGACTTGGCGTGGCACTGCGGGCATTGGGGCCAGGCTACGTCAGGCTCAAGTCTCCCGGCCTGGGGCCCCCCAACATGCACACACCAGCCGGCTGGACTCACCATACTTCACAGCTGGGGAGGGGCTGCAGCTTGCTCTCCCGGGAGGCCTGCCATGCGCGCCGCCGCTCTTGGTTCCTAGTGGCAGAGAAGAAGCGGCACTGCTGTGGGCACACACGCCTCCATGGCCACACAGGCCCTCAGCACATGGGCAGGCATCTGACACACATGTGTACCCACTGCAGGAGGGCAGCCCCTGCAGCTGGCTCCTCCCACAGTCTCCTGGGAAAGGGTGTCTATGCTCCCTGTCAGTCGTTCCCGAATTCTCCACGGAATCTGCAGTCCAGGTTACTGTCCCTGCCACAGTGCCCGCGGACTCAGCCCTCTTCCATCCCAGCACCTTGACCCAGTGCCCGTGAGTCTCTGGCCTTCCGGGGGGACCCTTCGGCTCCTGGTGCTCCTCCCCATCCCTGGCCCACTGGGCAACCTCCTCCACCCACCCATGCCCACCCCACATGAGGCTGAGAAGCAGGTATGCCACCTCCCCTTCTGCCTCTGCTCCCCTGGGGGAGATGGGTTGGGGCAAGCTGAGGGGCCACAAGGAGCTGGGAGGTCCCTGAACACCTGGGCTGCCAGAAGGATCATGTGCCTGGGAACAGGGACACCCATGAGAGTGTGCCTGGGAACATGGCCACCCTGCTCCTCGGCCTGTTCTTGGCCTGTCCCTGTCCCACTGATGGGGCCACACGCTGCAGGTCTGGCATGTCAGCAGTGTCTCGTCAGCTGACACCACTGAAAGCCCCAAACCCATGTGTCCACACTGGTTAGGTCCTGGAGCCTGATCCCTGGTTCTCTCAAGGGAAACTGCTTCTTTGCCTTGGCTCCTAGCACCCTGTCAATGCTGGACCCAAATCCATAGGCGGCTGATCTTTCTCCAGGGCACGGCTGGCAGACATCATGCACCCAGACGTCCTGATGGAACTAGGCCCCTGGGCTCCTCCCAGCCCCTTTCCCGACTGCCCCCTGGCCACCCCCAGCTTGCCCATGGGTCAGCTGACCCTATGTTGGGTCCAGAAGCACTGTCCTCTCATCGGCCAGGGCCTGAAGGCATGAAAACATGCACCAGCTCCCCTACACTCCTAGGAAATCTGTTACCATCTGGGAGCCCCACTCCCACCCTCACAGGGATGCCCAAAGACCCCCCCACCACCCTGTGCTCTTCTCCCCTGGCACATGCTGTCCGGGAAGCTCTTGGCTGTCACCCCAGGGCCAGCAGTTGCCTTATTCAGGTCTCTGCTCAAACGTCCCTCCACCCCACACAGCCTGTGGCGTCTGTGCCTCTCTTTCTCTGTCTCTCTCTTTCTTTCTTTTTTTTTGAGAGAGAGTTTTGCTCTTGTTGCCCAGGCTGGAATGCAATGGCGTGATCTCGGCTCACTGCAACCTCCACCTCCCAGGTTCAAGCCATTCTCCTGCCTCAGCCTCCCGAGTAGCTGGGACTACAGGCGTGCATCACCACGCCCGGCTAATTTTGTATTTTTAGTAGAGACGGGGTTTCTCCATGTTGGTCAGGCTGGTTTCGAACTCCTGACCTCAGATGATCCGCCCGCCTCGGCCTCCCAAAGTGCTGGGATTACAGGCGTGAGCCACTGCACCCGGCCTGTGCCTGTCTTACTCCATCGCAGGTCCCCAGGGCCCAGCCTGGGCTGGCTCACAGCAGCATGGATAAGCACATGCCGTGTGAACGGGCACATGCGTGTACACAGCACACCAACACACCCTTGGCAAGACAGGTACAAGAACCATACATAAGCCCCCTGGGCCCAAGGCACCGGCCACTCATCACCAGGGCCCAACAGACCCCAGACAGGACACGCCGCGAGGTGGCAGGGGCACCCTACCTGCGGGGATTCCTCAGAAGCCACCACTGGGTCCCCTCCTGGGTCTGCTTGGCCCCAGGCCCTCCAGCCCCTCTCCAGCTGGGCACCCCAGGCCCTACTCACCAGGAGCAGCTACAGCAGCAGCACCAGCATAGGCAGCAGGGGTTACGGCTGGCGGCCGCAGGAGGAACTGCATCATGACTGGACATTGAAGGGGGCCGGTCCGCCTCCTCTGGCCCTGTGTTCTGGGGAAAAATGGGGCTACCTCAGCCTTCAGGTCAGAACCCACCAGACCCTCCATCTCTCCCCCACCCTCCTATGGGTGGCCCTGTTCCCAGGCACATGACCCTTCTGGCCTCCCGGGTGTTCAGGGATCTCCCAACTCCTTGTGGCCCCTCAGCTTGCCCCACCCCATCTCCCCCAGGGGAGCAGAGGCAGAAGGGGAGGTGGCATACCTGCTTCTCAGCCTCATGCGGGGTGGGCATGGGTGGGCGGAGGAGGTTGCCCAGGCTCCGTGGTGCCAGCTCTCAGACCCTCACCACAGCCTGGGGGTCTGGGGAGAGGGGCCAAGGTTCTGACTAAGAACCTGAAACCCCAGCCCCTGCCTGTCCCTTAGGAGGGGTCCTGAGTGGGTGTCTCCCTAGCAGGGCCTGCTCCTGCCTCTGGACCCGGCTCTGCCCAGGGCTTCTACCCCAACCCCAAGCTTACAGCAGGGCTGGGAGGGGGTCTAGGGTCATTGAGGAGGGGGCTGCAGCAGCTTCTGGCCCCTCCTCCCAGGCTGGGCCCCAGATGAGGCCCCCACAGGAGGTTCCGAGACACCCCCATCCGCTCACTCCCTGGGAAGCCGGAAGCCTGGGTTCCTCTTTCTCGGTTTCCGGCTCCCAGCCCCTCCCAAAGGGGCCCCGAGAGTCTGGGGCCACCAACTGTGCGTGCGGGTGGTGGCCAGACTTGCTTCTAGGGCGTCTGGGGTGGGGAGTGGGCAGAGCGGCTCCCACCAAGAGTCCAGGTCTGTCTGCGGGTCCCAGAGGTCTCAGCCAGGGGCAGCAGGTTAGACCTGCCACAGTGAGGTTTTAAGTGGGACTCAGGGCTGGACTTTCTGAGGGTGTGGGGAGGGGGGCAGGGCCCTGGTGAGGAGGGACGTGCCCCCCAAACATGGTTCTTTAGTCCTGCTACCTCCCACCCAAGACTTTCCTCCCTCCTTGCCCACTGCCTCTAGGCTATGAAACCGCTGTGGAACCAAGGCCGTACCACAGGGCGCGCCAGCCAGGGAAGTGGGGGTGGCAGTGGGTGGAGGCACCCTGCTCCCCAGTCAAAGCCTCAGAGTCCCTGAGGGGTGTGGTGTGGTGCGTGTACCTCCCAGCGTTTGGTTGCACCATCTGCAGGGGAGGTGCACCAGGAGCGCCAAAGCTGAGTGGCCCTCATGCCACCTAAGATACCACTTTGAATCCCAAGTCTCCTTGGGCAATGGCACAGGGGGGCCAATCAGTGCCCCGGAGGCAGTTGTGAACACCTGCGCCCACCTCTGCCCTCTGGGCCTCTGTGCATGTCCACCACCCTCCTCATCTGCCACCCTCCTCCCTGGCCAGGAAGCTCACAACTTGGTTCTACTTTATTTTCTCAATCTTCATCCCCCCCCGCCACGCCTCCCTTAGCTTGTGGCCTTTGAATGCTTGTTTCTGTCTGATTGGCCTCTCTTGGCCTCCTGGGATGGTGTGTGAATGGCGCTCAGAGAAGACAGTGCTGGAGTTCTGCACTCTCAGGGCCCCCAATACCCCTGAGGCCTGGGCATGCAGAGGCCACTGCCCTGGCCCAAGTGTGGGGCAGGTGCAGCATCCCCCGGGACCTCGGCCCCTCACCGCCTGCCCAGCTTCCTCTGAGACTGTGGGTCCCACAGGTTCCCAGCAAGTAGATGAGGAGACAGAAGGTGGCCCCACAGCTGGGCTTGCTTTCAGGGGTCAAGTTTCTAGGGAAAGGAAGGGGCGTGGCAACCTGAGGTTTGGTAGCTGTACCCAGACGGGGATGTCTGTGACTTCCCCAGGCAGCAGTTCTTCCTCCTCTCTGTCCCCACCCAGGGTCCTCCCCCACACTCGAGCACCCCGGAGACTGTCCCTCCTGGGCTACCATGTCCACCCCAGCTCTGAACTGGAGGAGGGGACGTGTTTAGGGGTGCCGGGTCGGGGTGCTAGGGGCTGCATTTGCTGCAGAGGAGGGAGCCAGCCCCTTCTTTCCCAGCTTCAGGCCCTGGACTGGGTCACCTGTCCCTGGACTGGGCTTCCTGTACCCTTCTCAGGTCAGCTGGGGCAACCCATGTCCCCAGGCTACCCCCCCTTCTCTCCTGGAGGATACAGAGTCTCAACTAGGGTTCTCCTGCTTGTCATCCTGGGATTGGGGACCCCCCTTCCCCAGCCTCCCAGGCTTTGGCCCCCAAGTCTGGGATGGGAGAGGCTGGACAGGCGGCACGTCTGGTCTCTGGGGATAGAGGCTCCCTTGGGAGTGGCTGCTGCTTTGCTCCACAGAAGGAAAAAGAACGTCCCAGAGCCTGCCCAGTCCAAAAAAAGAATAAGAAAATGTGACAATCCCAGAAAAAAATGTCATAACCTTTGGGAGGGGTTGAAGAGGGGCTCCATTCTCAGTTCTTAGCGCCCACCCAGGGCCTTTCCCATCTGCCACCCTCCACATCTGGCTGGTGGACGAGCCCTGGCCTGGCCCCTCCAAGGAAGGCCAGCTCTCCCCACCTCTGAAATGGTGGTGGTGACCCACCCACCACGCTCCTCTCGCTGCTGTCAGGGTCCCGCCTGGAGGAGCCTGTGTCCTCCTCCAGGTGCCTCTTTCTCCAGCCTCTGACGCCCCCACCCCTACCTCAATGCTCCCTACTCACCAGCGACCCAAAGGCGGGGTGGGGGCAGGAGGGGCCAGGTTGGGTCTGGGCCCCACCCTGGCTGCCGAAGGGGCGTGCACTGCAGCAGCAGGGACTCAAGTCAGACGGCAGGAGGGACTCCTGCGGCGCTCTGGAGGGAGGGTAGCGCCAGGAGCCCCCGATCGGCTGGGGCCGGGGGCGCAGCGCCTCCCCTACAGCTCGAAGGGCTGAGTGGCTGCCAGATCCAGCGGGGTGGGGGCGGGGGCGGACAGGGTGTCCCGCCCCGGCCTCTCCTCACCGGGCTGGCGGGGGGGAGGGAGACGCGGAAACCTGGGTTCTTCCGGCCCCCACCTTTAAGCAATCACTTCCCCAGGCTTTGAGCTCCACAAAAAGGGGAACCCGGCTGCAGCGCCCCCTCCCCCAAGCGCGGGGGGCGGGCTCCAGTTCCACTGCGGCCCAGGGTCCACGTGGACCTGGCGGCAGGAGTCCTTGGGGTTCGAGTCCCGTGCGCCGGCTCCCGAAGCTCCCGCCCCGCACGGTCCCCGGGCCCGGGCCGGGAGGGGCAGGGCCGCTGTCCCCGGCGCGGCGCGCGCGCACTCACCAGCCGCGCTCCCGAGCCACTCGCGCCGCCGCCGGCCCGCGCGCTCCAAGGTCCGGCCCGACAGTCGGGGAGGGGGCGCGGGGGCGCAGTGCGCAGGCGCCTCGGCAGCACTTCCCCAAAGCCAGGGGCCGGGACTTCCTCGCGCCGGGAGGCGCCGGGCCCGCCCCGCCCGCCGCGCCCCGCCCCGCCCCGCGCTCGGCCGGCTCCACACCCCACCCGCCCCGCCCGCGCTCGGCCCCCACAGTCGCTGGGGGGTGGCCCGGAGGGTTGAGGTGCTCGTAGTGGAGCCCTGGCCCCCGGGCCGACGGAGCTGCACGGTGGTAGATGGGGGTGTGGCCGTGGCCCCCGACTCTGCTCGGCGGGGCCGTTCCTGCCTTGCCATGCGTGTGGGACTCCAGTGTGGAGGCAGGAGAGCGGGGCCCCGTATGCTGCTTGCCCTGCTTGGGAAAGAGGCGGCTGCTGGAAAGGACCGATCGGCGGGCACGCCAGCCCGGCCCACCCCTCGCCTCCGTGAGCTTCGTCTGTAAAACTGGGTTAAGAGCCTGTCGTGCTGTGGGGGGTTCCCAAGGAAGGGGGAGTTTCCTGTGCTGCGGGGCTGGGGAGAACTGGGGGTGCGGGTTCGTGCATCCGGAGTCATGCCGAATGTCTCCTGCGGGGCCTGGCAGAGTCCCTGCTGACCCGTGTGTCCCAAGATGTCCTACAGCTTAAAGCCACACGGTCCCCTTTGCCACGAACGTCCTGTCCCTTTGGCTGACTCTTCTCATCCTTTATGACTCGGTACAGATGTGGGTCAGGCTTCTCATCGCAGCGTGCTTTGGCCTAGTGTCGGTGGCCCTGACCCTGCTCCGGAAGTGTCTGCAGCGCATCTGTGCCCCCCGCCCCTCCCCGGGCCCAGCTGTGTGCAGCTCCTGTCCTACCCAGCACAAGCACTCGACCCGGATAGCTCCCAGTGTCGGGGTCCTGCTCATCAAATGCCTTCCAATTGCACAGGTCAGGTGCACACCTTACACCTTCACAGAACTCTGAGGGGTGGAAAGGGAGATTTTACTTGTGTTCCTCATTCAATGGACAAGTATCAGCATCTGGGTGCCCCTGTGGGCCAGGCAGTGGGACCAGAAGCCAGCAACATAGATGGGCCTGGATCTGATGCTAGGGGCGTAGAGTGAGTTGGGAGCAAGCAGGGAAGGCCTGAGTGAGAGGCGGGAGGGCTGAGAGCGGGGGGTGTTGCGCTGCTGAGGGGGGTGAGGGCCTGAAGGGGGAGGTCAGAGGTCAGAGGGCCCTGGAGGACAGACTGCCTCTCGAAGCTGTACCCAGAGGCCTGGCCAACTTGACTGCAGAACCCTGTGACTGCCATGTTATCAGGCCAGGCAAGGAAAGGCAGGGGCCAGGAAGTCCATAGGGACAAGAGGCAGGCTGCTGCTTATTCAGCCCAAATAACACTTCTGAGAGGTGGGCACAGGTGAGGTCAGGGAAGCTCAGTGAAGATGGGCCAGCACCTGGTCCGGGCCACACACAACCAGCTGACCCCGCTGAGCCGGCCTGTTGTCTCCACTGTGGGAAAATGCAGGTGTGGGCAGCTGGCAGTGGGTGAAGGTCAGTGCCCTCCCTGCCGCCTCAGGTCACTCTATAACCCCCCAATCATTCCCCCATCTCCTCTGGCCCCTTGCACCTGCTCTCCACTCCCCTGGCTTCTGCCCCTCGGCACAGAGCATCCCTGAAGTCCATGGATGGAGCCAGGTGAGCTGGGCAGTTGATGGTGGAGGTGGGATTTGAACCCAGAACCCTCTGCCCCCTCACAGCCCTCAATATATTGGGCTTTGGACCACATGCCTTCCTTCCCATAGAGCTTTCTACAGGCAGGCATCCCTCCAGGCCATGCAGAAACGCCCTGGGCCCCATTCTCCAGCCTCCTTTGCACATCGAGCCCCCGCTTTCCATGCGGATCAAAGGGCTTGAGTGCTGGCCTGACCCTGGTGCAGTCACTGAGGTCACTGTCTTGCTGGCCTTCTCTGGGTGCTGGGCCTGCTGGGCCTGTCTCTGCCCTTCTTCCCTCTTGCCTGTCTGATGCAGAGTGACCCATCCCCTTCAGAGCACTTGCTGCAGTGGTGCACCAAGACCCTTCTTCAAGATGAAATGGAGTCTCAGAGAAATGATGAAATAATATGTGATTCTCCCAGTAGATGAACTCATTCTAGGTACTCAGTCAATCCCCAAGACACAGAATCCTGAGGTCCAGGCTGCAGGGAGTTTGGCCAGAGGACACCAGGGCTGGCTGTCATCACATGTCACAAGTACATCAGGTGTGAGTGACTGCCTCTCCTGGACAGAGACTGCCTCCCTTCCTTGTCTGTCTGCCCTGCTCAAGCCCCTTCTCCCTGGCCTCCTTCCTCTCTATCCTTCCCTTCCTGAAACCCCTCCTGCCATCTCTCTGTCCCCCGCTTGTCAGCTGACTTCTGAGCTGTGTATACAGTCTGGGCTTGGGTCAAGGCCAAGGGCAGCAACAGCCCAGAAAGAGTAAAGTGCCCGGTGCCTGGGGAGAAGGCCTGGCTGAGGGGCAAGTGCGCAGGACTCCACCCCCGGCCGCGGTTGGGGAGAGACACTGGCTGCCATTGAGCTGGAACCCTTCTGGACCTCAGTTCTGACCTCTGCCCCTCCTTCCAGATCTGCTCTGGGCTTCAGGCAGTCAGCTGGAGCCCCCTGCCAGGAGGAGGGGTTTGTCTGAGTTCCTGTAGTTCTCGCTTCTGTGCAGCCTGCTGGGCAGGGGTCTGGGAGGGAGGAAAAGGAAGCAGGGCCTAGGGAAGCCCCAGGTTCTGCAAAGAGCTCATGTCGGGGAGAAAAGTAAGGTCTGCCCAGAAACCTTGGGGCTTTCAGAGTTCAGGGATTTTGTAGGTCGTGGGCCTGTTTGTCAGAATGGGACAGGGGTGGTTTCCTTTCCTACTCCGTGTGTGTGTGTGTGTGTGTGTGTGGGGGGGGGTGTGGGTGTGGGTGTGTGGGGGGGTGGGTGGGTGTGGGGGGGGATGTGGGGGTGTGTGGGGTGTGTGTGTGGGGGTGTGTGTGTGTGGGGGGGGATGTGGGTGTGTGTGGGGGGGTGGGTGTCTGGCGGGGCATTAAGGGGGTCACAGGAGGCTATTCAGGATGGAAAGGAAGGCCACGGGGTGGGTTTTTTGTGTGGGGGCAGCAGGGGTTCCCCTTTCCCAGTCTCTTGGTCCTCTGGGCACAGCTGGTGCCTCTTCAAAGGCCAGCTTAGGTCACTTCCGCTGCCCACAGCACAGCCCTCCCCAGCCCCCTGGCGGGATGACCTGCACTCGGGACCACTGCAGCCTGAGGCTACCTTTGCTTCTGGGGGTGTGACTTGCTGAAACAGGCTCTTTCTCCGTCCTCCCCAAGACTGGGGTCCTCCCATTAACCCACAGAACGCCTGGTTGCCAATGGGGGCAGGTCGGGATTGGGGTAGGCGTGTCCCTGACCTGTTACTTTCACACTCACCCACTTGCGTCTCCCCACTTTTTTGGGAGAGGCCCCACTCTCTGTACCCTGATGTCTGTGAGGTGCATGGGAGAGGCAGCGTCCATACTCCCCGCTTCCCTCGGGGGTCCTGGGGAGCGGCAGCAGAAAGACCAGAGCGCCTTCGGAGAATTATAACTTTATGTGGGAGGCTGGGGCGCGTCGCACACTCTGGGTCGCCGTCACCGAGGGAAGATGCTGCCATCCACGTTCTCCTCCAGGATGGTCTCCACGCGCCTCCGCTGCCGGGGAGAGAGGCTGGGGCCAGGCGAGTGCGGAGGCGGGCGGGGCCCCCTCCCCCCTTCCCGTCCCTACCGGGGCTTGTCGGCACCTCTTGGCGGTCCAGGGGGTCCGGGATCCGCGTGGGCTTCAGCTGCGGCGGCAGGAACAGCTCCAGCCGGATGGCGGCGCGCGCGGACTTCTGCCGCTGGATGAGCAGCGCGATCTCCTCGGCCTGCCGGGCCCGGGGTGGCTGAGCGCGCGCCGCGCCCCGCCCCGCCCGGCTCCACGCTCCGGGGGCGCCCCCTCCTCACTGCTGCCCCCCGCCTCGCCTCACCCGCATGCGGGTGTAGCGCAGCCGCAGGGCGCGGACTCGCCCGCCGGCCTCCGCTGCCTTGAGTACGCCGAGGAGCCGGTTCTGGCGCTCGGCGGGCAGCTCGAGCGACTGCGTCCAGGTGCGCGGGTCGGGCATGCGGTACCCTGGCTCCACCGACCCGCACGGGAAGGTGGAGGCCGCCGCGCCCACGTCGTCCAGCAGGTCGCCGAAGAGCAGATGGCGGTGACGCTGCGCAGGGGGCATGGCCGCTAGTCCCTGCGGCGTCAGGGCCCAGCCCGGCTTGGGGGGCTCTGTCGCGGGCGCCCACTTGGCGCGCCCCTCACCCCGCGCCGCGCCTGGCGCGCTCTTGCCGCTTCGCTCCCGCGGTTCCTTGCGCCCACCCTCCTTCGCTGGCGGCGGCATTCTCCCGCGCTGCGGAGGGAAGAGGGCGTCCCGTCGGAGCCGGGGCTGGCACCGGGCCCTTCCGGCCCTCGGCAGGGCCCCACCGTGCGCCCCAGCTCCCGCCCGCTGGGCTCTCCACAGTGGGTTTTGAGTCCCGCACCCCCAGCCTCTGAGCTTTGCCCAGGCGCTCTCCCTCTCCCGAGCGCACGTCCCCAGCAGCTCTGCCATCAGCTGATCCTGCTCAGTCCTGCAGTCAACTAGAACTTTCTGATCAACTCAGTTGTAGGAAGTATCTTTCCTACCCTACAGACTGTGCTGTTTGAATTGAGAAACTGCCGAGACCCCCCCGAGTTGATCTCAGGCCCTGCCAGGGTGGACGCCACATGGAGACCTCTGGGTGACGCCTGGGGGACCTTCTTTGTGCCCCTATGTCTGCGGTCCCGACCGTCAGGGTCTCCCACCAGACAGTTGGCTCTTCCCCTTCGGGGCCTAGATGGTTGTGGGGAGCAGAGCCTAGGGGGCAGGTGACAGAGGAGGGAGGGTCCGAAAGTCCAGGTGGCTCCTTGCTTCCTGGCCCCAGCCTACATCTGCCACCTTGTCCAGCCAGGGCCGGGCTCGCTGTGCCAGAAGTAGAGCCACTGCCAGCCCCAGCGGCTGCTAAGCCCCCGCCCCTCCTTAGCTCCAGCAGCCGAGGCCTAGTCCCCACCTCTTGGTCCCCGCACCTCCTACTTGCTGCCTTCTCCGGTCGGTGGAACCTCCGCGTAGCCCAGACTCTCTGGGGCTTGTTGACGCGGTTGCCCAGCAACTGGAGTCCTGCCCCTCCCTCGACCAGGTGGGACGGGACAGGTCGGGTCGTGGCGGGGGGCGGGGTCCCCTCCGGAGGGCCCTGAGTTAGAGCCTGGGCGTGGACGCGCCCCTCACAGGGGCCATCAAGGCATAGAGCCGGCTTCTCCAGCTTGGGTGAGCGTCCTTTCCAGGCGGCGGCAGACGCGCCATCCTAGGGGTTGTGGGCCCAGGTTCCTGGCTTGAGGGGTCTTTGGGGTTAGTTTTGTGGGTGGGACCCTCGGCTATGAGGAGACCTTTGTGGTTCAGGCCCATTCCTTTCTGATGGCCAGGGGGCCCTGGCCCCAGCCACTGGTGTTCACAGAAAGGGATAATGGGGCAGAGCTCAGGACCCCTCACCTCTTCTAGGGCAAGTTTGGGGTCTCAGGGGTCCAGGTGTCCCCCAGGACCAGAGCTGGGTTTTGCTGAACCCTGTGTCTTGGGATCTTGGGTCCTAGGTACTAGATTTTAGAAATCTATTTGTGCCTTCCTTTATTTTGTAACTAATTCTCAATTAACTAATCATTTTATAATTTCTTCATAAGTGTGTTCTAGAATTTACTAATTTCACGTGCTTATTCCACAGTTTAAATTAGGCAAAGATTAGTGCATAAAGCCCAGTCTGCTACGTGTCTGTTACTTCCATGAGACGTCTGTACTCTCTCGACATTCGCAGACCTGCCGCTGGGGGCACCTCGCTGGGAGTTGGGAACCTGGGAGTCTGGGAGTCGGCCTGTCTTAGCTGAGGTTCTGGCCTTTTGGCAGGAGGCTGTTGGGTGTTCCCATTGTTTCTGGGAGACTGCCCTGACCTCTCAGTAAGAGGGGAAACTTTGACATTCAGCCCTTTGTCCCAGAGCCGGCACCCCATCCTATGGCTAGGCCCATCCTTCCAGCCCTCAAGCTTTTACTGCTCTCCAGAAGGCCCTTCCTGGTGCTGTTCCCTCCCCTCCTGCAGGTGCCTTTGGGGTCCTGCCTGGGCTGCAGCACCAGCCTGGCTTGAGGAAGGTCCTTGGTTTCTGGAAGCAGCAGTGACTGCATACAGATGCTCACCCAGCAGCTGTTTCCTCCGGGCAGCCTTTGTCCTCCCATAGGGGTGAGTCCTTTGAGACAGGGACCTGGGCCATCCTCTCAGCTTCCCTGGGTCCGGGCCAGGGGGACACAGGGGTGGGACACTTTCTGGCTCTTGGTGTTTGTGGGGGAGTTAATGCAGGGAGTAAGGGAATGTTCTGTTCTGCACAAAGGGGCTTGTAACCTTCTTCTGTTTTAATAGGACTGGAAAACCTTGACACCCCCTAGTCCATAATTCCCAGCAGGTTCTCCCAGGACCTACCTGGCTCACATTCCTCACCCCTGCCGTTTCTCCACACATTTGCAGTTCTTCAGGGAGGGAGGCATTCTCTGTGTGTTTGGGGTCCAGGAACTGTGAGGGACCCAGCAGGCCGACACCTCCCATCTGTTTCTGTCCCCAGGATTCACGTGTTTTTCAAGGGCTAACGGAAATGCTGAGATCTAAAGGCATGTTTATTCCTGCCAAGGCCTGACAATGAACCTTCAAGTCAAATTAGTAAGCTTTATTAATGACTACAAAGTTTAACATTATATTGAGAAGCTACAACTCAATGTTTTTGTCATTGTATATAAATTTTGTAAAGTTAAGATCACAAAGACAAAGTAATTTATTCTGATGAAACTCAGAATTGTTAAAATCCTTTCACTTTTTAAATAGTACATATGTATGGCCTGGTGACTGGCTTCCCCACGGATGGCTGCTCTGTGTGGGGCTGCCAGACCCTCTGCTTTGATTCTTGTACTTGGCCAGCCCAGGGTGGTGAACCTGTGGAAGGAGGGGGTAGACTGTGCCTGCCCTGGGGACGGGAGTGGTGAGGACAAAGGACAGTGCTCCAGCTGCCGTCTGATTCTGAGTCACTGGATGAAGGTGAGGTGTGTGTATCTGCCTGGTGAGTGGGTGTGAATCTCAGCCCGGAACCTAGACCTGCCCAAATACCCAGGAGCTCCAAGAGCGGCCTGTGCCAGGCTTTGACCGTAATTCGTGGACGCAAGTTCTGCGCTGTCATTCATGTGTCACCGTGTCATGTCTTGGGCTATCCCTAGTATCCTCGCCTGTTGTTTTGCCTGCTTAGGACATGTGTGTTTGAGGTTGTCTTGCCCTCTCATATAACATGTGTCTCTTGCTATCTCTTGCATGACATATATGTTCCATATAGGACCCTGATTCTACCTTTCCCCTTCTGGAGAGACCACCCCATCCTTGGCAGGTTGGGGGAGGGCAGGACTCTGTTCGGGGTCTAGAGAAACCTGGACCGTTTCATCTGCACCACCAGCTCTCCTCTGTGGGAGCCTTTCTGGGTCTGGGGCTGGACCCCTGCCAACCCCAGGGAGCATAGTCAGTGTCACACCTGGCCACTCCCCTGGCCAGGTGACCAGGCCTGTCCTTTCCTCTAAGACTGTGCCTGTGAGGGGCCAGACGCCTGTCTCCTGCGGGTCTCTGCGGGGTGCATTGACCATGCTCTCAGAGGATGCCTGCTGAGACCAGAGCTCACAGGCCTAGCCTGGCAGCCGTATTACTGAATCATGGCCAAGTTAGGAAAGTTCCGAGGGCTGGGGGTCCTGGGGCTTCTTGGAGGAGGTAGGACTGGAGCTGGCTGGGGTGGGGCAGGATCCATGCAAGGGGCCAGGATCGTGCATCGAGGCCAGGATCTCTGCATGGGGGCAAGAGTCTCTGCAGTGAGGACTTTTAGGAGGTGACAGAATCTGTGCGGGGTGCGGAGTCTTTGCAGCGGGGCCAGGATCTGTGCAGTGGGTGGGATCTACATTGGGAGTCAGTGTCTGTTCAAGGGAGTGGGGGGACAGGACCTGTCCAGGGAGAGCAGGATCTGTACAGAGGGACCAAGATCTATGCAGGGGGATAGCATCTGTGTGGGGTGGGGGCACAGTCTGTGCCGGAGTTCGGGGGGACTAGATCTTTGCAGGTGTGGTCAGGATCTGCTCAAGGGGTAGGATGTGTGCAGGGAGGCCAGGGTCTGCGCAGAGTGGCCAAGATCTGTGCAGAGTGGCCAGCGTCTTTGCAGAGTGGCCAGGGTCTGTGCAGAGCGGCCAGGGTCTGTGCAGAGTGGCCAGGGTCTTTGCAAGGGGGCAGGATCTTTGCAGGGGGAACAGGTTGTGTGCAGGCAGGTGCACAGGGTCAATGCCGGGGGCAGGGTCTGTACCAGGGGCCAGGGTCTATGTGGGTGGGGGGCAGGTTTTGTGCAGGGGGCCTAGGCTGTTCAGGGTGCCAGGGTCTGTGCAGGTGGTTTGCAGCAGGCACAAGGGAGGGAGGAGCTGTCCCGGGTTCTATGGTTATGAGCATGTCAGGGCAGGATGACACAGAACACACAGGTAGTTCAAGGGAACACATTATAAGACTGTGAACACCTGGACTGGGGAGGCCACGGCCTTCTGCTGGACACTGAACGGCTCCCACAAAGGGAGTTGAGGTCTCTATTGACTCCTGAAAGGCCAGGCAAGGCAGAGCTGGGAACTGCCTTGGTGGGGGTGCAGGTGGCTGGTTGCTATTGCTGGGTGAGAAGGCTTGGGGTCAAAAGAGGTGGGAGTCAGGGAGCTAGGTCAGACCTCATCCCCCCTCCTTTCTTCCTGTCCTCCTTCTATCCCCAATGTGTTTTCCTCCCCCTTCTCCCCTCCTTTCTTATCCATCCTCCCTCTTGATCTCTCCATACTTCCTCCCCGCTCCTTTCCCTTTCCTCCTCCTCCCCATCTCAACCCCTCATCCTCCCCCTCTCTGGCTGTAGGGAGGAAGTTTTGGGGGTGACCCAGGTGGCAGGCAGACATGCTGAGGGAGAGGTGTCTGCAGTAGCAGGGATGAGGTGCCTGTGTCCCGCACTCTGCCCTGGCCTCTGACGCTGGTTCCTGGGCCGGGGACATGAGGTGGGGCTCCTTTGTCCTTCCCTTACAAGGCCTCAGCTCTGCCCACCCTCAGTGCCTGCAATGCCCAGGCTGGGTCCCAGGCTGGGAGGCAGGCTCAGGAAGCTGGGGTAGGAGGGTCTAGGGTCTCCCGCTCAGACCTTGGTGAGCCCAGCTGGGGTTGGGGACTGCAGGAGTCCAAGCCTGCCTGGATTCCTGCCCCCTCTCGGCTCCTGAGGTCAGGGGGCTCATCCTTGAGCTTTGCCTGGAAAGCGTGTTTGTGCATGTGTGGGTCCTCTGGGTGTTGGAGGGCCTTGGCCTGTGTCTGCCTGTTCCCGAAGGTGTCTATGCACACTCTAGGTCTACCCATGTGCCTGTGTGCACCTTGGCGTCATCTTGCACGTGTGTGGCCCGTGTGTTTGATGTGTTTGTGCATCCCTGTGAGTGTCTGCATTTCTGAGTGTGTAACCGTGTCTCTGTGTGTTCACCCGTATGCCTGTCTGGGCATCTGTTTGTGTGTTTGCAGGAATGTGTGTCCCCATGTGTCCCTTGAGTGTCTCTGTTGACGTGCCCCGTGCCTTCACACGTGTCCCTGAGTCTTGGTTGCCATGAAGATGCAGGGATAAGTCCTGGGGGACAGCGAGGGAGGCTGGGTCCTGGGGCATCTGCCTGTTCCATCCTCTCCTGATTTGCCAGGTATCCTAGCAACCCTGCTGCCAGTTGCCTAGCAACCAGGTCCCCACTCTTGGAGAAGGTGCTCTGAGGAGGGTCTGAGCTGTGTGGGGACAGGTCTGGTTCTCCTTCAAAGCTCGTGCAGGAAGTACGACCCTGTGACCGGGTGGGAGCTGGTGATTCAGCTCAGGGGTCACCCAGACAGCCTTGACCTGTGACCTTTCATCTCAGTGGATCAGGCATGGGACCCTGAGCTGAGAAGGAGGCACCTCTAAAGGAACCGTTCAGCTGTGTGGGTGCCAGGGGCCTGTCTGAGGGAGTGATGCTCAGGCATTGATCTGGGACCCAGCTGTGGCAGAGGTGCCCTTGGCGTTTCAACCCTGTCTCTGACACTCTGACAGGCGGCCTCACACCTCTGAGGCTTCATGCTCTAGCAGTGGCCGGGTACAGTGAGGTGACTGAGCTCCAGGAGCACACAGTAGGTGCTGGGCCAGTGCCGTGTCCTGGACCCAAGCATCTTGCCTGCGTGTTTACAATGAAGCTTTGATCTGCCAAGAGCTGGCCAGGTGGGGGCATTTTGGGGTGCTGGGAGCCCAACTGCAGGGTCCGGGCCAGTCTGTCCAAGGCTGTGTCTCTGTGTGAGTCGTGGCCCCGTGTCTGTGTGTCCAAGTCTGTGAACATGTCTCCGTGTGTGTCTCCCTGAGACTCCATCCCTGGGTGTGAGTCTGTGTGTCCTTGTGTGTGTCTCTCTGTCCTGTGTCTCTACTCCTGTGTCTGTGAACCCGTGGGCATCTCTGTCCATGTATCCTGCGCTGTGTGTGCATCTGGGGTCTGTGGGTCCGAGCCTCCTTGTTCATCTCTGTCTGTGTGTCTGTCCCCTATCAGTGTGGGGTCGGCGCAGCCCTGGGCACGGTGACCCACCTTTCCGCAGCCCCCCCACTCCTCCAGCCTGCGTAGCCCCTCCCCCTCTGGAGCTGCAGCCTCCTCCTCCTCCTCCTCCTCCCCCTCCCCTCTGCTTCAGGCTGCCGGGCTCACTCTGCTGCTGCGTCTGGTCTGGCGTCTGCTGAGAAGATCCCGTACTGAGGCGAGTGGCGGCTGGGCCTCTTCTACCCTGCTCTGCACCTGTGCCAGACTGCCGGCTGGCTGAGGGTGGGGGTCTCCACGGTGGTCCCAGCTCCCAAGGAGGTTGCAGAGGTAAGGACCTGAGCCGCTGGAGGTCGGGTGGGAGCTGGAGGTCCGGTGGGGGTCCTGCTGACAGACTGCAGCAAAGCAGGGCGGGGGAGCAGGAGGAAGCTGTGCTCCCGGGAGGAAGGCTGGGTCCCAGGCGTTTCTGGGTGTGTCTGTCTCTTTTGTGCCTGCGTGCGCATGAGGGCAGGTTTGGACATTTCTGTGTGTCTGTGTGTGTGACGTGTGTCCCTGCATCCCTGTGCCTGCGAACACACGAGTGGCTGTGTGTTCATGAGTCCCTGCGGGTGGACAGTGTCCTGGGGTGTAACTGCCTCCAGGCAGCCTGTGAGTCTCTAAACCGAATGAGACTGTCCTTGCGGGTGCATGTGTGTCTTTGTGTCCTCGTGTCTCCATGTGCCCCTGCCTGTGCATGTGTGCCTGTGTGTTCTGTGTGTGCCCGTGTACCTCCGTGCCTGTGCCTGCCCAGTGTGGGGGTCCACGTGCCTGCTGGGCTGCACGTGCTGGGTTGTGAGGCCTGGGCTGGGTGTGTGTCTGGCACTGCGCCCTTGTCTGTGCTCTGTCCCAGGTGCTGCACTGAGTGGATTTGCAGGGCAGTGGCATGGAGCCTCTCTTCCCGCCCCATTCTGGGAGGTTATCTCTGACAGCCACCTTCAGGGCAACCTGTCCCTCCTGATCCCAACCACAGTCTGCTGCCTCCGCATCTGCTGCTCAATGCCAGTCACAGCGCCTTCCTGCCCCTCGGGCTCAAGGTCACCATCGTGGGGCTCTACCTGGCCGTGTGTGTCGGGGGGCTCTGGGAACTGCCTCGTCATGTACGTCATCCTCAGGTAGGCTGGGCCACAGTGCCTGTCTGCTGGAGTCCCACACACAGCTGCAGGAGGGGAAGCTGAGGCAGAGGCTGTTCTGGAGCGGGCCTGAGCAGGTGTTGATTTCACTTCCCCCATTCAGATGGACCCTGTCCAGAGGCAGTCAATCCTGAGCCCAGGAGGGAGGGGAGGGCTGGCCTGGCCACACTCTGTCCCAGGTAGGCGCGTCACCACCTGACCCTGGTTTGAGCTGTGGACCAGGCTCTGTATCAAGCTGTCTGCTTCAATGAGACCCCACAGCGGCCCTGTGAGAGGCTCTTTTCAGCCCATTCCCCAGGTGGGTGAAGGGAGGCACAGGGGCTGGTGCTGGGACAGTCCTGAAACCCCTTCTCAGGCTCCTACTTATGGCAGGTGTGTGTGGCTGAGCCCATGATCTGTTGGTGCCCAGAGATGGGAAAACTTATGGGGGGCAAAGAGAGGGCAGCTGATGAAGTCGAGGTTGAGGGAGCAGTGCGGGGGCAGTGTGGGGATAGTGGAGGGCAGCCAGGGGAGATAGTGTGGGAGCAGTGCGGGCAGTGGGGGGGGCAGTGTGGGGGCAGTGGGAGGCAGTGTGTGGAGCAGTGCGGGGGCAGTGGGGGCAGTGTGGGGGCAGTGGGGGGGCAGTGCAGGGGGCAGTGGGCAGGCAGTGTGAGGGCAGTGTGGGGGCAGTGTGGGGGCAGTGTGGGGAGCAGTGCGGGGGGCAGTGGGGGGGCAGTGTGGGGGCAGTGTGGGAAGCAGTGCAGGGGGCAGTGTGGGGAGCAGTGCAGGGGATAGTGGAGGGCAGCCAGGGGGATAATTGTGGGGGCAGTGGGGGGCAGTGTGGGAGGCAGTGCGGGGGCAGTGGGGGGCAGTGTGGGGGCAGTGGGGGGCAGTGTGGGGGCAGTGGGGGGGCAGTGTGGGGGCAGTGCGAGGAGGCAGTGGGGGCAGTGTGGGGGCAGTGCGGGGGCAGTGGGGGGGCAGTGTGGGGGCAGTGCAGGGAGGGGATAGTGGAGGGCAGCCAGGGGTATAGTGTGGGGGGATACTGTGGGGGACAGCAGGGAGCAGCCAGGGGGGAGATGTGGGGGGATGGCATGGTGGGATAGTGTGGGGGACAGTGGGGGGAGCTGGGGGATAGTGGGATAGCATGAGGCAGATAGTCTTGAGGGGTAGTGAGGGGGATAGTGGGGGGGATAGCATGAGGCAGATAGTGTGAGGGTAGTGAGGAGATAGTGGGGGATAGCATGAGGCGGATAGTGTTGGGGGGGTAGTGGGGGGATGGTGGGATAGCATTGGGGACAGCATGGGAACAGCATGGGATCAGTGTGGGGTGAACAGGAAACCTTCATGGTTGTGGATTGGAGCGGAGTAGAAGATGGAGGTGACTTAAGCAGAAAGGGAGGGTTTTCTGGGCAGAGGAATGACGGACCCCAAATCCATCCAGAGGAGAGAGAACTGAAGGGCCTGGGGACAGCAGGTGGATCCTGAAGGCCGGGTGAGACTCTGTTCTTCCAGGCAGAGGAGGAGAGAGAACTGAGGGCCTGGGGACAGCAGGTGGATCCTGAAGGCCAGGTGGGGGACTCTGTTCTTCAGGCAGAGGAGAAGAACTGAGGGCCTGGGGACAGCGGGTGGATCCTGAAGAGGCCGGGTGGGGACTCTGTTCTTCCCAGGCAGAGGAGGAAACTGAGGAGCCTGGGGACAGCAGGTGGATCCTGAAGGCCGGGTGTGGACTCTGTTCTTCAGGCAGAGGAGAGAACTGAGGGCCTGGGGACCCAGAGGTGGATACTCTGTTCTTCAGGCAGAGGAGAGAGAACTGAGGGCCTGGGGACAGAAGGTGGATCCTGAAGGCCGGGGTGGGGGACTCTGTTCTTCAGGCAGTGGGGGTTATGGGTGGTGCTTTAGCAGGAAGATGACTGACAGCTGGAATGAGGTTTCTTATTGGTCCAGGATATTTGCCTGGACCCAGAAAAAGGCGGTTCTGAAGACAGTGTCCAGGGCTCTGAAGCAAGTGTTCCCTCCTTATAACCTCAAAGGGTCCCAACCAGAGGTGTTATGTAGGTAGAGGCAGGACGGGGTAGTGGGGGTGTTCACGCTGCCACCATCCCAGCCCTGTCCTCTTAGTGTCCCTGAGAAAAGCTGTTCCCCTCTGGGCCTTGTTTTTCCCATCTGGAAAGTGAGCAAGGTGGACCATGTAGCCACGTGTATGTGTGTGCGTGTGTGTGCATGTGTGTGTGTGTGCGTGCGTGTGTGCGTGCGTGTGTGTGCGTGTGTGTGCGTGTGTGTGCACGTGTGTGTGCGTGTGTGCGTGTGCATGTGTGTGCGTGTGTGTGTGCATGTGTGTGCGTGTGTGTGCACGTGTGTGTGCGTGTGTGCGTGTGTGTGCATGTGTGTGTGTGCATGTGTGCATGTGTGTGTGTGCACATGTGTGCAGGTGATGCGTGGTCAGACGAGAGAGTGGGAAGAACAGCTGCCCCTCCCCAGAGCTGACTCCTAAGGGAGGCTCCACGGAGGTTGCTCCGTGATGTGCATGTCCCTTCGTGGCTGGCTGGCGCGTCACGGCTGAGGAGTGCGGCGGCCTGGGGCAGTCCCTGTGCTTGAGCACCTTTCTGGCTGTTACCGCTTCTCTACTGTCTTTCTCCTCTACACTGAGGCGTTCAACCTCTCAGCGGCACTTCTTGGATTAGAGCAGGCAGGGAAGGTCATGTTGCTCGGCAGAGTCCCCAGAGAGAGCGGTACTCAGGGGCTGCTGTGGCCACACTGGCCCAAGAGCCAGCATGTTGTGAGCCAGTGGGCTGGGGTGACCATCCCAGGAGTCAGAAACACTCCGTTCTGAGCTCTGCCCTGCTTTTTACCAGCTCTAAGGCCTTAAAAAAACAACATAGATCCTCTAGGCCTCAGTTTCTTCCTCTATAGAGTGGGGATCAAAGTAGCATTTTTGTAAATCTTCAATGACATAAATTCCGCCTGAAGAGCTTGGCACAGGTATTTGCCATAATCATTGTCATTGTTGTTTTCTCTTCGTAATTGCGGCCTCTTTGTGCTTATTCATAATCCCTCTCTAAGAGGCAGAACTGAGCCCCATATTTCCTCGAGGCAGCTAAACTGACACAGAATAGTGTCATCTCGGGTGCTGCTGCCACTGCCAATACCGCCGCCACCACCATCATCACAGTCATCACCATCACGTGACACCATCATCACCATCACCATCACCACCACCACCATCACATTCATCATCATCACCATCATCACCATCATCACCATCACCACCACCACCATCACCACCACCACCACCATCACCACCACCACCACCACCATCACCACCATCACCACCACCACCACCACCATCATCACCACCACCATCACCACCACCACCACCACCACCATCACCACCACCACCACCACCACCACCACCACCACCACCACCACCACCACCACCACCACCACCACCACCATCACCATCACCACCACCACCACCACCATCACGTTCATCATCATCACCATCCTCTCTATCAACACCACCATCATCACCATCACCATCATCATCACCATCACCACCATGATCCCCCCCCAAATATTACAACCATTAACTGAGTTAACAAAAATTTATTAACCACCAACAACTTTCCCAGCCCTTTCCAGCACCTTTTCAGGTGCTTGGATACAATCATACCTTATTAGCATCCCTCCTGTCCGTGTCACCATTTTCTGTCTCTGTTGCTGGATAGCAGTGTGGACTTGGAAGCCTTTTGGTATGTTCTTATAGATTCCGGAGCTCTCAGAAACCTCTGGCAACTGTAGGGTCAGCATTTAAGTCTGTGAAGGGTCTCTGAGGGGACTCAAAAGCAAGGAGAGCAGGCTTTTTCCCTTAGGGCTCTAACCCTTCGCTCCCGTGCAGAGTCTGGGGTGTGTTCTGGTACCCTACGTGCCCTGACCCCTGTAAAGTAGACCTTTTGTGTGTGTCAGAGCCACTTGAAGAGCTGGTGAAGATGTCTGATGCCAGGTTCCATCCCCTGAGACTGACTCAGTGAATCTCAGGTTGGGTCCAGGAGCTGTCACTTACCAAGCCCCCATGGGAACTCTGATGTTAAGGGACTCAGGGCCAGTGTAGCTTGCGGTGGCCAAGACGAGCCCCTTGCCCTTTGCTGCCCGGTCCAGCCGGCATAGCCAAGTGAAGCCTTTCTTCTCCCTCTACTCTGCAGGCATACCAAAATGAAGACAGCCACCAATATTTACATCTTTAACCTGGCCCTGGCAGACACTCTGGTCCTGCTGACACTGCCCTTCCAGGGCACAGACATCCTCCTGGGCTTCTGGCCGTTTGGGAATGCCCTGTGCAAGACAGTCATTGCCATTGACTACTACAACATGTTCACCAGCACCTTCACCCTCACTGCCATGAGTGTGGATCGCTACGTAGCCATCTGCCACCCCATCCGCGCCCTCGACGTCCGCACATCCAGCAAAGCCCAGGCTGTCAATGTGGCCATCTGGGCCCTGGCCTCTGTTGTTGGTGTTCCTGTTGCCATCATGGGCTCGGCACAGGTCGAGGATGAAGGTTAGTGGGGTGTCCCCTCCTCCCCTCACCAGGCTCTCCACGGCTCCTGGGTGGCTCCTCTGGGCCCACTTGCCCTCCACGTCTCCTGGGCCCACTCTGACCCCACTTCTCTCCCTGCAGAGATCGAGTGCCTGGTGGAGATCCCTACCCCACAGGACTACTGGGGCCCTGTGTTTGCCGTCTGCATCTTCCTCTTCTCCTTCATCATCCCCGTGCTCATCATCTCCGTCTGCTACAGCCTCATGATCCGGAGGCTCCGCGGAGTCCGCCTGCTCTCAGGCTCCCGGGAGAAGGACCGGAACTTGCGACGCATCACTCGGCTGGTGCTGGTGGTGGTGGCTGTGTTCGTGGGCTGCTGGACGCCTGTCCAGGTCTTTGTGCTGGTCCAAGGGCTGGGAGTGCAGCCAGGCAGCGAGACTGCCGTGGCCATTCTGCGCTTCTGCACAGCCCTGGGCTACGTCAACAGCTGCCTCAACCCCATCCTCTATGCCTTCCTGGATGAGAACTTCAAGGCCTGCTTCCGCAAGTTCTGCTGTGCCTCTGCCCTGCGCCGGGAGATGCAGGTGTCTGACCGTGTGCGCAGCATTGCCAAAGACGTGGCCCTGGCCTGCAAGACCTCTGAGACGGTACCGCGGCCCGCGTGACTAGGCGTGGACCTGCCTATGGTGCCCGTCAGCCCGCAGAGCCCATCTACTCCCAACACGGAGCTCACACAGGTCACTGCTCTCTAGGCTGACACACCCTGAGCCCTGAGCATCCAGAGCCTTGGATGGGCTTTTCCCTGTGGGCCAGGGACACTTGGTCCCAGAGGAGGACCTAGTGACATCATGGGACAGGTCAGAGCATTAGGGCTACCTCCATGGCCCCAGACAGACTAAAGCTGCCCGCCTGGTGCAGGGTTGAGGTGACACAAAGACCTACCTGGAAGCAGCTGCCGTGCTGCTGGGCGGCCGTGACTGGAGCCCGTGCCCCTCCCTGCCTGTGCTTCACGTGACTCTTGACCTCTCTGCTGCTGTGTTGGCAGAACCCTGGGTGGGCGCACACCCGGAGGAGGAGCAGTGGCTGTGTCATCCTGTGCACCCTACGTGCTGTGTGCTGTTTGCATGGCAGGGCTCCAGCTGCCTTCAGCCCTGGGACGTCTCCTCAGGGCAGCTGGACAGGCTTGGCGCTGCCCGGGAAGCCCAACAGGCAGCATTTCTTTGGGGTGGGGCTTGCCCTGAGCTTGGAGCTGCCACCAGGAGGACTTGCCTGTTCTGACTCCACCTGTGCAGCCAGGGCCACCCCAGGAGAGTGTCCAGGTGGGCTGGCTGTCCCTGGCTGCAGACCCCGAGCTGGTCCTGGGCCAGCCGCACCTCTGAAGGTTTCCTGTGTGCTGCACTGTGCAGGCCTCATCCCTGACTGAGCTTGGCTCTGGGTCCAACCCCCATTTCCCTTCAGGAGACCCACGGGAGGCCCTGGCCCATTCCCTCCAGCAGTGCAATGAACTGTCATGCTGTGGACCGTCAGCCGAGCTCTGCTTCTCGGTGTGTGGCAGGTGTCTCAGGAGGAAGATGCCGCGTGACCACGTGGGCAACCTGTTGTTCACAAAGTAGAGGCCTCGTTTTCCTGGTCTTGACTGCTGTTTGTAGCAGGGTGGGAGAGGATTCTCTGGGGGTCTCCACATCCTCCCAGGGCTCCTCTCACAGCCTCTCCTTTGCTTGAAGCTGGAGGTCAGTGGCCGTGCAGTGTTGTGGGGGAGCTGTGTTGCGGGGGAAGCTGTGTTGTGGGGGAAGCCGTGCAGCAGGAGAAGCCAGTGGCCACAGTGGAGTCCTGCTCTAGTGACGCCTGCTTCATTTACAAGCCTCAAGATGGCTCTGCGTAGGGCCTGAACTTGCCGCCCAACGAGAGGATGGCTTCACAGCAGAGCCAGCATGGGGGTGGGGCTTGCCAGGGCTTGCTTGAGCCAAACTGCAAGCGCTGTAGTGGCTGTGAGAACACTGTGGGGGTGGGAGGGGGTCTCTGTACCTCAGGGGATGCCCTGCTGTGGTCACCCAGAGAATCACCCTTCCTGGTCTACAGATGGAAGCTGCAGGTTGCTGACTTTGCAGATGCACTTCCTACAGACGAACTATTAAAAGACCTGCAACATTGTAAAAACTCATTTTTTCCATCAAGACCTTGGCCAGGTAACCTTAGGCTCCTGCCAAGAACAGGAAGTGATGGCCGTCTCACCACAGAGCCTGGGCTGCTCCTCCAGCTCTGGGGAGTCTAGGCTGTGGGGACTGTCCCTGGGGAGGCCCGTGCTGTCTCCATGACATCTGTGGCAGGAGTCTCTGAGAACGGGAGCTGCCTAGCTACAGTGTTTTCTTGCCAAGGCTAAGTGTTTTGTGACTCTGTGCTGACGTAATGTGCATCTTCACGTATTTATGCATGTGGCAATCGTTACTTCCTGTGCACGCAGCCAGCCCTGGGTCTGTCTCTGGGGTAATGAAAAAGGACCCTAATAAACACCTGCTCACTGGCTGGGTATCTTCATGACAGGTGTTTCTGGCTCCTGCCACCTGGGGATTTGCTTTTGGGGTGACTTTTCTGGGATTGGCCCGTGAGTGGGAGGAGGCTATGGGGTTTAGGCTGAGTTCTTACACTTGTCCTGTGCTGCTCAACAGGCTGGGCTCTGTCCTCAGTGAAGGGTCCTCCAGGAGGCTGCAACCCTGGGGAGAGTTGAAGCCAGTTAATGGTGTGTTGGCCGGGCTGTTACCTTTTCTTCACCACACAGTTTTTCCCTAAATAACCGATGGCTGTGCCTCTCCCCTGCCCCCTGGAAAGAGGTTTCTGGAGGATCCAGTGGGAGGAGGCTGCTCCCACCCAGGCCGCAGGGTTTTCTTCCCCCTATTTCATCTCAGAAGAACCCCTGCTCCTGCTCATTTCCCCTTCCTAGAGTAGATCTGAGGGGAGTTTTGGTGAAGGATGAGCGGACAGCCTCCCCTGGGGCTGGGCACACTCTTGCCGTGGACATCTGCCTCCTGGTTCCTGTTTGGCCCAGTGCAGCCCAGGCTGACCTGCAAAACAGAGCAGCTTTGGAGGGTGGGCACCGGCACACTCCAGTCCAAGTGCTTGTCTCCAGGGCATGGGCAGATGGGCAAGTTCTGTAGGGTTTTATATAGGTTTGAATGACAGACACTGTCTTATCCTGGACTGCTGTAGCAAAGCACCATAGATCCAATGGCAATAGAAACAACAGACGTTTATTTCTCACGGTTCTGGAGGCTGGAGATCAGAGATGAGGTGCAGGCACAGTCAGGTTCTGGGAAAGACCCCAGGCCGTAGAGGGCCGTCTTCTCACTATGTCATGACATGGGTTTGAGAGCTCAAGAGCGTCTGGTTCCTAAAGACACTCATCCCTTTCAGGAGGACTCTGCCGTCATGACCTGTCATCTCCCAAAGGCCCCCTTCTCCTGATACCATCAGCTTGGGGGGTGGGATTTCAAAATACGAATTTTGGAGGAACACAAATAGTTCATAACAAACACATTGCCATTAAAGCAAAAATTTAGCGTCAAGGGACAATTTGGGAGGGACGGGCTGCACCGGGGTAGTCACCGTGCCCTTGGGCCCGGGAGATGGTGTGGGCTTGGTGGAAGAGGCTCACACGTGGTGCTGTCCTTTCCTCGGGTGGGTGTGGATCCAGGGCTAAGCCCACAGCTAGTGTCTTCCAGAAGGAACCGGCCAGACGGGGGCCAAGGCTGTAGGAGGAGCTGGGGGGTGTTGGAGGCTGACCAGCTCCCTCGCTCTCCCCACCTCTCTGACCACACCCTGGGTCTCCTCTCCGGCCCCCGGCTCCCCCAACCCACCTCTGCTGTTGGGCTTGGTCAAGTCGCCTGGCTTTTCTGAGCCTCAGTTAACTTCCCTGTGCACAGGGGACCGCAGAACCCTCTTTGTGGGGTTGTGGGGAACGGCTGGGGCGCCCCGGGAGGGTCCCGCAGGGAGGCGGGGTTCGGCGGCGGCGTCGGACCCTCCCGCCAGGGGGCGCTGTGGGCTCGGGCGGGCCCAGCCTCGGGCCCAGGGCGCGGCGGTGGGAACCGCGGGGACCAGCGGGGTCCGGATGTGGGTGGCGGGGCCGGGCTGCCCCTGGGACCGGGAGCCCAGAGCGTGCAGACGCGGCGGCCTGAGCCGCCCAGTGTGGCCCCTGCCCCGCGCCCACCGCGCCCACCCGCCCCTCCCTCCTGGCTGGCTGGGGCCTCCCCAGTCCTCGGGGTCTCTGCTGCGCCCTGGCTGGGCGGGGGTCTGCAGACCCTGTGGCTGTGCCTGATCTGCCTGGTCCCCGAGCAGAAGCTGAGGATCCCATTGCTGGACTGTGGATGGGGCTAGGAGCCGCCCGAGGTCGGAAGGGGTCTGGGTTCTTTGGAGGCATCCTGGTTGGCGCCTTCTCTGCAGCAGAGATGTCCCACTGGGGCCAGAGGGCAGCCTGGGGGCTGGGGGAGACCTCGGCCCTGAGGGCTGTAGGGGCCCTGTCCTGGCGCTCCGTCAGCGCCCCGCCCCTGCCCCCACCCCGTGGGGCTCCCTCTCAGCCCTGCCTGCGCACACTCCCACCCCCGCCTCTCCTGCCCGCCCCTCATTGTTCACTCCTCATTAGGCCTCACACCTGGCTTGGAGCGGGCTTGGAGCGGGTGTCTGGGAAACAGTCTCACTTGTCTCCTCAAGGGGCTCCGGGGCACAGTAACAGGCTGCAGTCACGGTAACAGCGTGCGGGCACAGTAACAGCACGTGGGCACAGTAACAGCGTGCGGGCACAGTAACAGCGTGCGGGCACAGTAACAGCGTGCGGGCACAGTAACAGGCTGCAGTCACAGTAACAGCGTGCGGGCACAGTAACAGCGTGCGGGCACAGTAACAGCGCGCGGGCACAGTAACAGCGTGCGGGCACAGTAACAGCGTGCGGGCACAGTAACAGGCTGCAGTCACAGTAACAGCGTGCGGGCACAGTAACAGGCTGCAGTCACAGTAACAGCGTGCGGGCACAGTAACAGCGTGCGGGCACAGTAACAGCGTGCGGGCACAGTAACAGGCTGCAGTCACAGTAACAGCGTGCGGGCACAGTAACAGCGTGCGGGCACAGTAACAGCACGCGGGCACACAGTAACAGCGTGGCGGCACAGTAACAGGCTGCAGTCACAGTAACAGCGCGCGGGCACAGTAACAGCGCGCGGCGGGCACAGTAACAGCACGCTGGCACAGTAACAGCGCGGCGGGCACAGTAACAGCACGCTGGCACAGTAACAGCGTATGGCACAGTAACAGCGCGCGGGCACAGTAACAGGCTGCAGTCACAGTAACAGCGCGCGGCACAGTAACAGCGTATGGCACAGTAACAGCGTTAAGGGCACAGTAACAGGCTGTACAGGAATAGCGTGGCGGGCACAGTAATAAAGGCAGGGCACAGCAGCACGCCGGGCACAGTAACAGCGCAGTGGCACAGTAACAGCACGCGGCACAGTAACAGCGCAAGGGCACAGTAACAGCGTATGGCACAGTAACAGCATCGGCACAGTAACAGCACGCGGGCACAGTAACAGCGTGCGGGCACAGTAACAGCGTGCGGGCACAGTAACAGCGTGCGGGCACAGTAACAGCGTGCGGGCACAGTAACAGCGTGCGGGCACAGTAACAGGCTATAGTCACAATAACAGCGTGCGGGCACAGTAACAGGCTGCAGTCACAGTAACAGCGTGCGGGCACAGTAACAGCGTGCGGGCACAGTAACAGGCTGCAGTCACAGTAACAGCGTGTGGGCACAGTAACAGCGTGCGGGCACAGTAACAGGCTGCTGCTTTGCAAGGTGTGACTGCAGCGCAGGCAGGAAACAAATCCAGGGACAGCTTCTTCTTCCTGCAGTGTGGGTATTGGTAGTGGCTTAAAAATTGTCCACAGGCTGGGCTCATGCCTGTAATCCCAGCACTTTGGGAGGCTGAGGCAGGAGGATCACTTGAGCCCAGGAGTTTGACACCAGCCTGGGCAACATAGTGAGACCTCGTCTTAAAAAAAAAAAAAAATTGCCTGGCGTGGTGGCGCACGCATGTGGTCCCAGCTACTCCAGAGGCTGATGTGGGAGGATTGCCTGAGCTCAGGAAGTCGAATCTGCTGTGAGCCGTGACCGCACCACGGCACTCCAGCCTGGTAAACAGAGTGAGACCCCTTCTCGATTTTAAAAAAATATTGAAGCAAAAGAAAAATAAACAGTCTACAGCCCCCGAGTGTGAGCTGGACCTGTGACTTGCTTCCAATACACAGAATGTAGTAGAAGGGATGGCAAGTGGCTCCGGACACTTGGCCTCAAATGTGTTGAGGTGTCCTCTTGGCTCCCTCCTGGGTCGCTGGCTCCCCGCTGGGTCGCTGGCTCGGGGGGACCCAGTGCCATGTTTTGAGGACACTCAGCCCCTGAAGCATCCATGTAGTGAGGAGCAGAGGCCTCCTGCCCATAGCCACGGGAGGGAGACTTCTCAGAAGGAGATACCTCAGCCCCTGCCCAGGCTTCCGAGGGCCAGGGCCTTGGCCATCGTCCTGACTGCAACCTCAGGAGAGACCCTGAGCCAGAACCACCCAAAAAGCCACTTTAAATCTTGAACCACAGAAGCTGTGAAATAGTAGAAGTTGTTTTAAGCTGTTGAGTTTTGGAGAAATTTGTTATGCAGCAACAGATAACTAATACAATGTTGTCAGGGAGGATAAGTGGATGGAGACAGCCCTGGTGTGTTTGGCTGGTTAGCACAGAGGAGGGGCACTGATGCAGGCCTGAGCCGAGGGGGCTCGACAGGCAGGGCCCTCGTGGCCTGGAGAGCTGGAGTACTTGGTGGATGGGTGGAGGTGGGCGTACACCCTGGGATGCCTCGTGGGCTGGTGAATGGTGGTGGGTCCTGTGTGCCTGCTGGACAGATTGATCAGAGCCCTGGGTCATGAGGACTGAAACCAACCCAGAGCACTCACACCTCACTGCCAGGCTGGAATGCCAGGCAGGGAACCAGCTGAGAGCCATGGGGCCAAGAGTCGGGGCCTGGCCACAGCACACCTGGGACCACCCCTGGCCCCTCCCACTTGAGAGCTGCCTGCACTTCATTACCTCTCACCCTGCCCCCACCAGAGTTTCCGCAGCTCCTGCTGGCTGATTACAAGCCCCCGGCCACACTGAGGGAGAGAGTTCCAGGTGCCAGCCTGTCCAAGTGACGGATGGTCCCTAAGCTGTGGTGGCCCAGGGGTCCTGGCAAAAGGGCCCTGTACCCTCTAGCAAAATATGAGAGGACCATCGGCTACAGCATGGGGGGTACAGAGGAGCACAGGCCATGGCATGCGGGCACAGCGGGGATGGGCCTCCTGCTGGAATGTCACTGGGGTTTCAGGCCATGAGAGTGGATTCCATGGTCTCATTCGGTGCAGGTGTCCTTGGCCTTTGCAGCCACACAGCATTGCTGCTGTCTGAGGCGCCCGCACTTGCCACTTCCCAACCCTGTCTTGGGGAGAGACTGTGCAACGTGGCG